TGGTTGTGTGTTTTAAGATGAAGGGTGAACGTGTAGTCATCGAAACGTCACGCTCCAACCTTCTACTGGTTGTGTGTTTTAAGATGAAGGGTGAACGTGTAGTCATCGAAACGTCACGCTCCAACCTTCTACTGGTTGTGTTATCAGAACTTTATTCCATTGACTTTACCAACTTGAAGAAAATGATCCTAAAGATGTTATTCATATTGAGAAACCATTACGAAAATTTCCACCGGGAGCGATAAAACTTGCTTTTCTCAAATTCAATGATTGACCATTATCCATTTTCCCGTCGAGCTTTTCAACAATAGCTTCATTAAAACACGTCACAGTAATGTTTATCTCCCTTCACACGTCCGTACTAAAGATTGTACACACAAGTGAATAGCACCTGTTGAAAATTTAGAGTGAGATACAGTAGAGCCAAACATTGAATTCAGCTGCATCATACAGTTGTTTCGTCCTTCTAGGACACTTCAAGTAGCCAGTAACATTAGCTCTAGGGACTCCAGAATAAATACACATACATTAAAAAAAAAAACATGGTCGTAAATAAAACCTACACTGTGTTGACAGTATACCAATAATATTACCTGTGTTGTAAGATGATGATTCCGGTCAAATATACCTTTCCTATATTCTTGAGATGTTTTTTTTATTCTTTATTATAATTTTAATTCTGGCAAGTTTTTTTCTGCACACTTTTGATGTGAAAAGTTAAATTCATTAACCTAAAATTTGAAAACAAATTGACCTAAAAAATAAGCAGTCCTAAACATTAAGATACATTATCTTACATAACTAAACCTGTTAATTGTTAACTATTAACTATAAACTGTTAACTATAAAGTATTAACTATTAAGTGTTAACTATTAAATGTTAACTATTAACTGTTAACTATTAAGTGTTAACAATTAAGTGTTAACTATTAACTATTAAGTGTTAACTATTAAATGTTAACTATTAACTGTTAACTATTAACTGTTAACTATTAAGTGTTAACAATTAAGTGTTAACTATTAACTATTAATTGTTAACTATTAAGTGTGAACTATTAACTGGTAACTATTAAGTGTTAACTATTGACTATTAAGTGTTAACTATTAAGTGTTAAATATTAACTGTTAACTATTAACTGTTAACTATTAATTGTTAACTATTAACTGTTAACTATTAACTGTTAACTATTAACTGTTAACTATTAACTGTTAACTATTAAATGTTAACTAGTAAGCGTTAACTATTAACTGTTAACTATTAACTGTTAACTATTAATTGTTAACTATTAAGTGTTAACTAGTAAGCGTTAACTATTAACTGTTAACTATTAACTGTTAACTATTAATTGTTAACTATTAACTGTTAACTATTAAGTGTGAACTATTAACTGTTAACTATTAAGTGTTAACTATTGACTATTAAGTGTTAACTATTAAGTGTTAACTATTAAGTGTTCAATATTAACTGTTAACTATTAAATGTTAACTATTAACTGTTAACTATTAAGTGTTAACTATTAACTGTTAACTATTAAGTGTTAACTAGTAAGCGTTAACTATTAACTGTTAACTATTAAGTGTAAACTATTAACTGTTAACTATTAAGTGTTAACTATTAACTGTTAACTATTAAGTGCGAACTATTAACTGTTAACTATTAAGTGTTAACTAGTAAGCGTTAACTATTAACTGTTAACTATTAAGTGTAAACTATTAACTGTTAACTATTAAGTGTTAACTATTAACTGTTAACTATTAAGTGCGAACTATTAACTGTTAACTATTAAGTGTGAACTATTAACTGTTAACTATTAAGTGTTAACTATTAAGTGTTAACTATTGACTATTAAGTGTTAACTATTAAGTGTTAAATATTAAATGCGAACTATTAACTGTTAACTATTAAGTGTTAACTATTAACTGTTAACTATTAAGTGTTAACTATTAACTGTTAACTATTAAGTGTTAACTATTAACTGTTAACTATTAAGTGCGAACTATTAACTGTTAACTATTAAGTGTTAACTAGTAAGCGTTAACTATTAACTGTTAACTATTAAGTGTAAACTATTAACTGTTAACTATTAAGTGTTAACTATTAACTGTTAACTATTAAGTGCGAACTATTAACTGTTAACTATTAAGTGTTAACTAGTAAGCGTTAACTATTAACTGTTAACTATTAAGTGTGAACTATTAACTGTTAACTATTAAGTTTTAACCATTAACTATTGACTATTAAGTGTTAACTATTAAGTATTAAATATTAACTGTTCACTACTAAGAGTTAACTTTTAACTGTTTAATTTTAATTGTTAACTATTAAGTGTTAGCTATTAACTATTGACTATTAAGTGTTAACTATTAAGTGTTAACTATTAACTGTTAACTATTAATTGTTCTATTAAGTGTTAACTATTATAACTTTCCAGTTTTTGAAGGTATAAACTTTTCGTTTTCTTCACTTAGAATAGAAATATCATTTATATAAACGTGTTTGAAAACGTACAGGACTTGCTCCCATTGTAAAGAACCAGAGCGTGTGAGAAGTGACGAATGTGATAGGGTATTTTGTCTGCTTGATTATAAAGTTACAGAGTAGGGTAGTTTGTCTGCTTGATTATAAAGTGTACAGAGTAGGGTATTTTGTCTGCTTGATTATAAAGTGTACAGAGTAGGGTAGTTTGTCTGCTTGATTATAAAGTGTACAGTGTTTTGTATTGCGAAGGAAATGTCATTGATAAAGATCAGAGAATTGAGCACTGGGGAATGCTCTTTTTATACTTCTTCAAGTATTCCATGAAATAACCGAAATTTCAGGAGAAGGATTTCATGTGGAATGCAATATCCGCCATGTGCCGTGCATAAACATTTCATTCGAACGAATTCTTCTCAATATTTGGCATGAAGCAAGCTGGGATGAAGGGCTACCAAGCTTGTTTAAATGAATGACCCTAGCAAAAGTTTCAGATCATACGGCTCAAATATGTTTTTTAAAAAACATTAAAGAGCTACATAATGACCAAATGAATCAGGGTGTTGATATTTGGCATGTAGCGTGCTGGTATGACCAACGTTCAAGGTCACTGGGGTCAAATGTGTTAAAATGTTTCAACGACTTTTCAATAACCAAAAGTCCCAGGCTTTTGATATTAATTACATAATATGATTGGTAAAATGGCTACAGAGTTTAATCAAATAACTGACCTTGACCCACCCTCAACGTCACCGGGGTCAAATGTGGTGAGGACATAAAGAAAATCTTTGTGTGTTGGTCTTTATAAGTTTTGTTCTGGTGTGATCTACCACTAGGGTTTGTTTTGTTGTTTAGACATAACGTAATTATATATAGTTATAGTCATTTCGCCTTCGCAAACTGTGGTAAAATGAAACTGGCGTTATGAATGGAAACATCCCAGATATTGGTAATGTTTTCTCGAGTTTCTAGATTATAACTGAAGTGTTCATCTATGTCGTCTTCCGCGTTCACAAAAATGTAAATGACATGTTTCACCACAGCTTTCCTCAATGTCACTATAAACCCCCGAATTCATCTGAATAGAACTATGTCAGTGTGTTGTTTTTTATTTGAGAGGAAATGTTTGACTGTAGACCAGAAGATATGTTTTGGTACATCAGTAATCTATCGATGACATGTCTATATATAGAGTTGCTTTTTTCTTTGATGAATATACAGAATTTATTTGTCTCCTGTCTCATACAGATGTGATATTGTTTCAAAGTTTTAAATGTATTGGTTTAAAGTTCATATTTTGTATTACGTTCATTCAAGGGATTTGTTTTCCGTTATGGTTTGGTTATCAAGGCGCATGCTCATTGGTGATGTTGATTACTAAGTTGATGTAAGCGTCACCTGTCATATTTTAGTATGGTCTTTACTAAGCATGTGGCATTAAGGAAATCCTATGTCCCAATCAGCTCTTTGCTTCCGTCAACAGATAATATGACTATAACAATTTTCAAAACAAATAGAATGTTAATAAGAAATCATCATACATCTGTTTAGGCTGGCGTGTTTTATGTGATGTGTCTGCAATGTGCCAGTGCCCGATAGTAGAGGGGAAGAAGGAAAGGTTTGCTGTTTTCAAACAATTGGTAGTTAAAGTGTAGTTGTTTGAATCGCTCAGTGGGCATAGGGAGTTTTGAGTGTCCGTTTGTTATGGGCGTACTTCGACTTAAGTATAAAATTTGTTTTACAGCTTTGTTGAATATACAACGTTGGTTTAGTGACTTTGCCAGCTCCATTTACAGCATGAGTCAAGAAATACACTGTACACCTAAAGAAATTGTGCTGTCCAACTCCCTACCCTTATTTCTTCATTGTTAGTATCACCGACATGTCGCATGTCCTAGGTTTGTGCTAACAATGAACAGAGTGTCTGTTTCGGTAGCATTTAATTTCACTAACCTTTTCTTAACCCAGGATTACATGGTTTCAATTTTTACCCTTGACGCGTCTGAACATAACAGCGAACCATTTTTTGCAAATGGTTTTGACACAAATTGAAGAATAATGATAAGTGGATGACTGAGCATTGGGGACTACCCGCATTTTCTCCTTTTCTTAAAACCCTTTGATTATGATTACGTTAACAAACTGGTATCCTCTTCATTGTTGTTTTAATTCTATTGAATAAAATTATCTTACCTTGACATTGTGATATTTATATTGACCACTACAAGAAGAAATCAATGTGTGTAAATCTATATATGAAGGCAATAACAATGACGGTAACACATGCTTTGTTATATTAATATATATATTTATTTCGTTGTTTTACTATGCAAAACAACATGTTGACGATATGGATGATGTCATGGCTTGGTCTGACATTATTCGTCATACCGATGTGGACGGTATATACATCTGTACATATACAATATTATGACATTTTATATGAAACTTTTAAGACAGGACAACATATATGATGTAACAAGAAATAGAATTGCACATCGCTATCTCCCTATAATTCAGAATCTCAGAACTGTGTAGTTGGTCGCTTATCCAACCATGCCTTTATGCCCGGAATTGCCTGGATCTTTTCCATGTGCGCTTTGACGTTTGGTGCCGTCGAAAAAGTCTTCTCTGCATCGGGATTCATGGCCATTCCGTTCATAATATCAAACAATGCAACGTCAGCCACCGTACACTGTAACAGGAAGTGTTATAAAAGGCAAATAAGTGTCTATGTTTAAAATAGACATAGACTATTTCAGACAAAGAATAACGTGAGAATTACATATTGATTCTGAATTTCATTCGAACACATTAATGAACTTTTCTAACTATTTTTTTCGAGAGAGAAATAGTTAATATCATTGTCACATCCTTTTATGAGTTATACTGATTCTGCAACTTGAATTTTCGATTTAATTTTAAAACTTTTTCTGTAAGGATGATTGTGTCAAAGAAAGTGTAAACATGTATAATTCCATGCTATCTCCAGGGGAAGTTGGTATTTATTTACATTATAATGATCCAGCTAAACAGTACGTAGTATTCAATAATAATATTTTACACAAAGATATAGTTTTGTCCAACCGTAAACATATCATAAAGTGGTCATATTGTTTTGTTAACTGAAATAAGTTGTTATGTAAACTATGTAACTAGAAATCTTTCGTTTTATATGTAGTAATATTTAATACCTATGCGTATTGTTCATTATTGTAAATTATATGCTTTATATCTATGTGGATTTTTTTTACTGATATCAATTAGCATTGTGGGTGCCTTATTTAATTTCTTTTTGATTAATTGAAAATTTCCAGCTACAATTATTGAAAATTGTTTCAATGTTTTGTAGAAATGATTATGAGCATTACAAGCCCCAGAAGACATCTTACCGCATTCCCAACAAGGAAGCCAGTTTTGTTATCACTTAATATCTTCCCCATTTTCTTCATGAAAGCTGGCCCTGTTACCTCTTCGAGTTTCTTTTGGAGTTCAGCCTACAAGGAATTAAACACAGTTCTATGAAAAAGGAAAATAGAATTAGAAAGGTGATTATGAAATAGCGAACCTTCAAACTGAAACCTTGTTACTGCATTCAAAATAAAACAAAGGCAATCAAGGGCACTGTATAATTGGCCTTATTCACAGTTACAGGTTTGTTTTACCTTTTTCTCTGCATCTGGCTCAAACATGATTTTAACATTGAAATTTCGGAAGTCTACAACGTCGTCGAGGATTTCGTCAATTCCTAGTTGAGAAAGATTATCCTTCCCATACAGTCCTGTAACAAAACGGTACCTTTTATCTGTTTCTGTACAATTTTGTGTTCACCTTAATAATCAATCATAGAATAAAACAAAATGAAGTGTTAACGCAACTGCCAATCTGTGAAACGTGTGATGCCGTTTTGTGCCCTTTTGTGGTCACTCAACAACAAGTTTCATGATTTTAATGCAAAAACGTGGAGGTCAGCTATATATATGCTAATCAAAACATCAGAATCTATAATTATTATCATTTGGGATTTTTGTTTGTATCAACATGCATTCTCAGAAGAAAGATATGTCTGTTGTGAATTGTCAAACACTCTACTTACCAAATTCCTTAGCGAAGAACCTGGCCAGAGCTATACTTTGTCCAAATGCTTTATCCCCGATCACCATATAAGGCAATTGTCCAGAAGGCGTTCCTTCAGACCGAAGATAGATTAGAGATGATAATTAGGTCAACAACACAATATTTATAACAGTAATTTCTTCATATGATAGAATATTGAGTCATTCATGTTTTTTATTTAGAAGACACCAACACTTCAATGACGAGACACTAATGTACCAACACCTCAATGACGTGACATTAATGTACCAACACCTCAATGACGTGACACTAATGTACCAACACCTCAATGACGAGACACTAATGTACCAACACTTCAATGACGAGACACTAATATACCAACACCTCAATGACGTGACACTAATGTACCAATACCTCAATGACGAGACACTAATGTACCAACACTTCAATAACGAGACGTTAATGTACCAACACTTCAATGATGAGACACTAATGTACCAACACTTCAATGACGTGGCACTAATGTACCAACACTTCAATGACGAGACACTAATGTACCAACACTTCAATGACGAGACACTAATGTACTAACACTTCAATGACGTGACACTAATGTACCAACACTTCAATGACGAGACACTAATGTACCAACACTTCAATGCCGAGACACTAATGTACCAACACTTCAATAACGAGACGCTAATGTACCAACACTTCAATGACGAGACACTTATGTACCAATACTTCAATAACGAGACACTAATGTACCAACACTTCAAAAACGAGACACTAATGTACCAACACTTCAACGACTAGACATTAATGTACCAACAGTTCAATAACAAGACACAAATGTACCAACATTTCAATAACAAGACATTAATGTACCAACACTTCAGTGACGAGGCACTAATGTACCAACACTTCAAAGACGAGACAATCATGCACCAACACTTCAATGACGAGACACTTATGTACCAACACTTCAATAACGAGACGCTAATGTACCAACACTTCAATGACGAGACACTAATGTACCAACACTTCAATGACGAGACACTTATGTACCAACATTTCAATGACGAGACAATCACGCACCAACACTTCAATGACGAGACACTTATGTTCCAACACCTCAATGACGAGACACTAACGTACCAACACTTCAATGACGAGACACTTATGTACCAACATTTCAATGACGAGACAATCACGCACCAACACTTCAATGACGAGACACTTATGTTCCAACACCTCAATGACGAGACACTAACGTACCAACACTTCAATGACGAGACACTAATGCATCAAGACTTTAACGAAGAGACACTAATGCACCAACACCTCAATGACAAGACACTAATGTACCAACACTTCAATGACGAGACACTAATGCAAAAACACTTCAATGACGAGACACTTATATAACAACACTTCAATGACGAAACACTTATATAACAACACTTCAATAACGAGTCGCTAATGTACCAACACCTCAATGACGAGACACTAATGTACAAACACTTCAATGACGAGACACTAATGTACCAACACTTCAATGACGAGACACTTATGTACCAACACTTCAATGACGAGACAATAATGTACCAACACTTCAATGACGAGACATTAATGTACCAACAATTCAATGACGAGACACTAATGCACCAACACTTCAATGACGAGACACTAATGTACCAACACTTCAATAACAAGACGCTAATGTACCAGCACTTCAATAACGAGACGTTAATGTACCAACACTTCAATGATTAGACAGTAATGTACCGACACTTCAATGACGAGACACTAATGTACCAATACCTCAAAGACGAGACACTAATACACCAACACCTAAATAACGAGACACTAATGTACAAACACTTCAATGACGAGACTTCAATGACGTGACACTAATGCACCAACATTTCAATGACGAGACACTAATGTACCAACACTTCAATAACGAGACGCTAATGTACCAATACTTCAATAACGAGACATTAATGTGCCAACACCTCAATGGCGAGACACTTATGTACCAATACTTCAATAATGAGACGCTAATGTACCAATACCTCAAAGACGAGACACTAATGTACCAACACTTCAATGACGAGACACTAATGTACCAACACTTCAATGACGAGACACTAATGTACCAATACTTCAATGGCGAGACACTAATGTCCCAACACTTTAATGGCGAGACACTAATGTACCAACACTTCAATGACGAGACACTTATGTACCAACACTTTAATGGCGAGACACTAATGTACCAACACTTCAATGACGAGACACTAATGTCCCAACACTTCAATGACGTGACACTAATGTACCAACACTTCAATGACGAGACACTAATGTCCCAACACTTTAATGGCGAGACACTAATGTTCCAACACCTCAATGACGAGACACTAATGTGTCAACACTTCAATGGCTAGACACTAATGTATCAACACTTCAATGACGAGACACTAATGTACCAACACTTCAATGACGAGACACTTATGTACCAACACCTAAATGACGAGACACTAATCTTTTCAACTTGGTCGTATGAATCATATACATTCAGTGTCATAACAGGGTTTTGATGCATTACTTACTTGCTTTGAGTTTTGGCCAGTCTTCAAATTTAATACGGTCATCCTCAAACGACATATCTTTCATTGCAAACAACAAACGGATAAGTTCTCCGCGACCACGACCATCAAAGTAATGAAGGGTGTACTTTTTAGACATGGTGTATTTTACAGCTGTGAACAGTACCTGTTTAGATGGAGTTTCTAGAACGACTGTTATGAGCCACTGTTTGAGTTGTAGCTGTATACCCGTAAAGATGTGACGTCACGAATAACGTGTCAGGGTGAAAAAAGAGATCATTTTCCCCATTCACCAGTATAGTTATGAAAAGGACCCTCAGCGGGTTCTAGTTTCTCACCTTTAATAATAACCCTCGTGTTAACCTATTGTATATATATACAGACCTATCATAGCGTGACACTTGGAAGTGATGCCATTGGCCAATCGTTGCAACAGCCAGGTAACGACTATTAATATGTTAATATATTGGTGTCATTGAACTTGTGGGATATTTAGTAAAAACTCAAATAAGGAAAGTGTCGCTTTTATCAGCTGTTTGAAGAATTATATAAAATGTTTTAAAGGAAACTAGTACAAATTCAACGTACAATGTTGCAATTGATGCCTGTTTTAATGGTTGTTTCCACTTCTACTCTTGGTGTTATAGTACTTCTGATAGTCAGGTGTTTATGTCTGTACAGGTCTCAGACAAGTACTACAATATTAAATAATCTTTAAATATTTTTATTTCAACTAAGTAATTGACCTCATGATTCCTTCGGTAACAGTTTCAATAAACTATTTTGAACCAGGACGATACACATTGGAAATAAATTGTCAATCTAGAAAAATGAAGCATAAGATATAATAATGTGATACAGAAAATTGTATATTACTAGCATGCTCTTTATATATTATTGTAAAGATCAGTATGAGTTTTAAGTGGAATAGTATCGATTGGAGTGCATTTAGGTGTTAATCATTGCACATGATGAATCCGATTTTAAGAGACAAAAAATATGGATATTTTCGATCAGGAAATTTTCGGACAATAACACTTAACCTTAAAGTCATTGATAGAAATAAAACAATGTAATTTGCCTCTCTTTGAGGAGATAAGTTGAATTAAGATTAAGATGTTAAAACTAGTAGATGATAAGGTATGTACTTACTAGTTTATACTGTAGACGATGACATTCAACTCGTTCAGGTCTTTTCAAGCAAGGAATATTTTTAATTTGTTCGGATATTTAGTTTCATTGGTACACAAAAACAAAAACGGAAGCAGAATCTCGCTCGTTGTGGCCATCTCTTTCAACTAGAATAGAATATTTTTATCAAGTATCATAAATATCTGTATTTTATTTTAAATTGTATCTTAATCGAGATCAATTATTAGCAAACATCTGATATTGGAGTCTGACCACGCTGTCTGCTACTTTGCGGAAAAACACCGATAAAATTTATTGAAAAAATATGGTGTACCAACATGAATATCTTCACTTTAAAAATTGAAAAAAATATCCCTTGCGTTGATAAGAATTGTTCGATAATAATTATCGGAACTATGATTGTTGAAAAAAATACAGCAAAAAAACAAAAGAACAAAAACAAAAAAAACCCAGAAAGATCATGGGTACAGTACTATGGGCAAGAATACCCCATTTCACGGCAAATTCAACGGATTGTATGTACCACAAATGACTAATTAGTTTAGGAAATCGGCATTGACATTGAAAATAACATAGGTACTTTATTTTATTAAAATTTCACCAGTCCAATAGTGATAAAAATACTTTCTAAAATTAAGTAATTTCAAACCACAGCTGACTGTATATTCAGTAGGCTGTTTCGTAATATCCTTATTTGTGACCTAGATTCAGACTACCGACATAACATCCCTTTGTCATCTCATACTTCTGTCTCCGATATCGGGATAAAAAAAATCATCTACAGCTTTCATGATGCATTCCTTTTCATCAATTTTGTTTATCAGGGTTTTATCACATCATGCCTCCCCTCTGTTTCCCATCCAACTTTACTAGCATAGTTTTTGCAAAGGTAGACGCGACTCCTGTTTTCAGATGTTTATCATTTTTCACGGATTCAGAGGTACATCAAACACACAGAGATTTCAATTATACCAAACATTGCCAAACACTAAAATTCCAGCATCTTTTATCGTGTGCACGATTTATCAGTGTGGGGGTTATTGGTGCTCCATCTAGCATGACCGGCCTGATCGTCGTGATTTTTCAATTAAATAATAATTTTCGGCATATGATATAAAATCACATAATATTACATCATATAGATATAGTCACATAGCTGTGTAAGTATAATCATAGCGCCGATGATATTAGTAAAGCCAAGATCTGCGAGTACGTTTTGTTTTTTTTTTTTCCTCATTTTTGTTCGTTTTAGAAATTGTAAGTTATTGGTCTCATAGCAGTAGCAAATGTTGATACCTTACCGGACATCTGTCGCATGGTAATCAAAGAAATGGGTTTACGTAAGTACCTTGCCTAAGGAAACAGCCACAAAGCTGGAGGAAGTCTCGAGAAACAACTCAGCGCCCTGGATAAGGATCGATCTTCCAACTTTGACTCTGTGATGTCACAATCATAAAAGTAATACAATCTATATATATAATACAACTACGACTATCTCATAGATTTAAGTATTTTATTTTATGTAACTATATTCAAAACCATCGCGCTGCAAAGCGTGTCCTCACGAAAAGAGCGTGATCTTCACGATACTTTTATATCCATACGTTGCGGTTGGTTGAATAGTCTAGGAAGTTTCTCCGTGTCATACCTTGGTACCATTTGCCGGTTGATGGAACCTATCTTGACAGGGGTTGACAGATGTACCGATATGGACTTTCTTATGCTTTATTTTGCACGTTTAGGACAGGTCAACAGAGCCGCTGTCGTTTTATTGGATTACACACTGCTATCTCACCGCAATTTAGAACTTCAAAACTCTGTATCTGGTCTTTTAGCCACCCACGCTTTTATATTGGGAATAGCCTGGATCTTCTCCATGTGGGTTTTGACGTTTGGTGCCACAGCAAAGGCCTTTGATGAATTGGGCTGCTTTGCCATACCGCTCATGATATCGAACAAAGCCAGGTCAGCCACCGTGCACTGTAATTCAATCATTATAACGATGAGATGTTTGTAGTAATGATGTTCCAAATTGACATAGAATAACCTTAACTTTCCAAAATATATCTAAGTCTTGCATGAAAGGTGTACGAATAGTGCCTACAGCCTCCAGTGCAGGAGTATTTGCCCCTGTGAGGAAGTTTTAGTTTGGGTTTTGTGTCCCCTCCTCCCCCAAACGTTGCTATTGACATGTCATTTAATCAAGATATAAAAAAATGTATTTGCACAACCATATAACATCCACCTGAAACATGCAAGAGTTTCATTTGGTTTTTTAGATCTGTATATTGTTGCAAATTTCTTTTCTTAATTAAAAAAAAAAAATAAATATGAAAAAAAGGGGGGGGGGGGGGGTGGAGTGGGGGGAAGGCAATGAGACAGAAAAAGGAAGATTAAGTGTAATGAAAGTGAAATCGACGCAATGGAAATTTCGAAGATTCTGTTATGTCAGTTACGTTTTTATTTGCGTCCGAAATCCATTTCTATTTGTGTAATTGCAAGTTTAAATTACATTTAAAGATATAAAGTCATGAGGTAACTAATTTGACATATAGTAGGCCACTATTTCGAGGAGTTTGCTTTATGAGAAATCAATCAATTGTTATGATTCCAGAAAACACACGACTTTTATCGGAATTAATGCTTCCACGAATATAGAAATTGGTATTAATTCAGAAAGATGTTACATATGCATTAAAGCATTGTTGTATTTACACAGACTTGTGTGTAAGAGAGGAACCCATTAACGTGTAATAACATATAAGACTTGGTCACCTACCGCAGAGCCGACAAGGAAGCCAGTTTTATTCTCAGTTAATATCGTGCTCATTTTCGTCAGGAACGCAGGCCCTGTTTCGTCTTCGAGTTTCTTCTGGAGTTTAGCCTACACAAAATCGTAAACAGAACACATGTAAACATGTTCTAATTGGAAAGCTATGAACAAATAGCTACGATCAACACACCCCACAACAAAGAAAATACCAACGATTCAACAGAACCATAACTTAAATTCAATTCAAAAAGGATAGAATATGAACATGAGAAAGATTTACACGGTAACTTATGAAGAAGTTCAAGGCGAACATGACCCAGGTGCTTAGAAAGGGTAAGGTTCTTCTGCTTCAACGACCACAATCGTCACGTGAATATTCCTCGTAAGTATATCACGTTCACGATGAAACCATCAGACATACTAAAACTGTCGATGGCCGACAAAAATGTATTTAGAAAATCGTGATATTAGGAACAAGCCCGTGGATATCGAATCAACTGCGACATGGAAACGCTATAGGTTGGAAATACTGGAAGGTTACTACCGAGAAATGGACAATATACATTAATGGCATTAACAGCATCTCTCTTATACTGAAATATGTTTGAAATATATCTTTTGACATATAATTGGGGTCTTTTGACTAGTAAGAAGTCGCTTAATGGATTAAACTGACTACGGGCGTACGAGCAGTCATAGAGGGATGGAAATGGACGCCGCACTAATGCGTCAAAGCACTTCAGAAAGTCACAATATGACGACACCTACATCAGCTGTAATAACGCTCTGTTGTCTCGTGCGAGGAAACTTACAAGCAAAAGTTTCATTTACCTTTTCGGCAGCGTCTGCCTCAAACCTCACTTTAACTGCGGCGTTTCGGAAATCTACTATGTTGTCGATGATTTCGTCAATGGCCAGTTGAGAAAGATTATCTTTTCCATACAATCCTGTAACAAAAATACACCTTTATATTCTTCTGTACATTTTTTGGCACTCTGTGACCGGCAGTTATTTCATGATTCCATTTTTATTCGTGTAAGAAACTATTCTTATAATCGCCATTCGGTGAAATACTTAATACATTTTTTCATTCTATATACTTACCGAATTCCTTTGCGAAGTACCTGGCCAGAGCTATACTTTGTCCATATGGCTTATCCTTTATCATCATATAAGGCAATTGTCCAGTAGGCGTTTCTTAAGACAAATAAAGATCAATGATATAATGATTAAATCAACAAACATGAACAATGCAAACGCAGCATTTTCTCCAACATCTCATGGCCAATACACTAAAATATCAACACTTCAATGACGGACACTAATGCATCAACACCTCAATGACAAGACACTTATGTACCAACACTTCAATGACGAGACACTTATGTACAAACACTTCAATGACGAGACACTAATGCACCAACACTTCAATGACGAGACACTAATGTACCAACACTTCAATGACGAGACACTAATGTGCCAACACTTCAATGACGAGACACTAATGTACCAACACTTCAATAACGAGACACTTTTACTAACACTTTATTGATTAGACACTAATGTACATACACTTTAATGATTTGACACTTATGTAACAATATTTCAATGATTAGACACTAATGTACTATTACTTTAATGATTTGACACTTATGTAACAATATTTCAATGATCAGACACTAATGCACCAACACCTCAATGATTAGACACTAATGTACTAACACTTTAATGATTAGACACTAATGTACTAACACTTTAATGATTAGACACTAATGTACTAACACTTTAATGATTAGACACTTATGTACTAACACTTTAATGATTAGACACTAATGTACTAACACTTTAATGATTTGACACTAATGTACTAACACTTTAATGATTTGACACTAATGTACTAACACTTTAATGATTAGACACTAATGTACTAACACTTTAATGAACAGACACTTATGTAACAATATTTCAATGATTAGACACTAATGTACTAACACTTTAATGATTAGACACTAATGTACTAACACTTTAATGATTAGACACTAATGTACTAACACTTTAATGATTAGACACTTATGTACATACACTTTAATGATTAGACACTAATGTACTAACACTTTAATGATTAGACACTAATGTACTAACACTTTAATGATTAGACACTAATGTACCAACACTTCAATGATTAGACACTAATGTACTAGCACTTTAATGATTAGACACTAATGTACTAACACTTTAATGATTTGACACTAATGTACTAACACTTTAATGATTAGACACTTATGTACTAACACTTTAATGATTAGACACTAATGTACTAACACTTTAATGAACAGACATTTATGTAACAATATTTCAATGATTAGACACTAATGTACTAACGCTTTAATGATTTGACACTTATGTAACAATATTTCAATGATCAGACACTAATGCACTAGCACTTTAATGATTAGACACTAATGTACTAACACTTTAATGATTTGACACTAATGTACTAACACTTTAATGATTAGACACTTATGTACTAACACTTTAATGATTAGACACTAATGTACTAACACTTTAATGAACAGACATTTATGTAACAATATTTCAATGATTAGACACTAATGTACTAACGCTTTAATGATTTGACACTTATGTAACAATATTTCAATGATCAGACACTAATGCACCAACACCTCAATGATTAGACACTTATGTACTAACACTTTAATGATTAGACACTAATGTACTAACACTTTAATGATTAGACACTTATGTACTAACACTTTAATGATTAGACACTAATGTACTAACACTTTAATGATTAGACACTTATGTACTAACACTTTAATGATTAGACACTTATGTACTAACACTTTAATGATTAGACACTTATGTAACAATACTTCAATGCATTCAATTATTATCAGTCATATGAATCGTGAGAAAGAATGAAAAGAAAATATTCGTCATAGGCTTTAGGATTAGCACTTACTTGGTTTGAGCTTTGGCCACTCATCAAATTTGATACGGTCGTCCTGAAACTTAACATCTTTCATTGCGAATAATAGACGAATTAGTTCTGCACGGCCACGGCCATCAAAGTAATGAAGAGTGTAGTTTTTAGACATGATGTTTGGTAACTGAGAGCTATACCTGTTTCAGCCTGATATGTTGGACCGACTGCAGTGGTCAGGGGTTGTGCTGTTGGTTTTATACACATATGGTCTAACGTCACATATTGACTTTAAAAGCAAACAGGTAAGGAACGCCTATCACCACCATTAGTTCTAGTTTCTCGCCTTGTAATCAAAGACTTTGTTGACTTATTCTATATTCAAATTTACATAACAAAGTGGTTTTCATCGAATCATATTGTTGGTCCTCTGTTTGTATGGTTAAATATGTTATACTTATATATTGCATACTGGTGTTTTAAATCGAAAGTTCAAAGTGGCAGATACTGCAAACATACGAGATTAAACATCCATATGGAATTACAAGTTAAAATCAATCAACATTGCAACCCTCCACTGTTTAAAATGTATTTACCAACGTGTGAATATAATCATAATAAAAACTCAAATTCATTAAAACTAGGGAAAATGTAAACATGCTTCATCGAAGACACCCGCCATGTAAATCGTGGACAAGTATCGTCACGGAACCAACAGGCAATCTAACGAGCATCAACAGATCAATCTTCATATCGGAGAAATAGAATACTTCTCGGATCAATGTGATGACCGTTCAACGCCTCCACAATTTTAACGATATTCTTGCAACTAACTTTACCTGTTTTCGGCATTTTTACTTAGTCCAAGTCTGATTAAGTATTATTGAATTCTAATTTCATACTCGATCAAACAAACCGTATATCCCCCTAGTTTGAACCGGTTGTGAAATTTCCATTTCTTAATAGTTATAGCAATGCTTTCTTTCCATAGTTTTCATAGACATATTTAAAGAAATTTCCTTTTGCCATTTTTTATAGCGAATGCTTCCAAAGGTTTGTTTAGTTTCTATTTACTAATACTGGCAGTAATTTGTTGAAAGTTACTTTAAGTTTGGATTTTTTGTTTCCGAATAATCATATCAGTGATTATCAGTTTTCTCTTGTAGTTAACTCTCCTGAATACGTATCAGTAACATCAATGTTAAACATGATTAGCTCCTAACATCGTTTACGTCATATTGCTCTTGTAGTTAACTCCCCTGAATACGTATCAGTAACATCAATGTTAAACATGATTAGCTCCTAACATCGTTTACGTCATATTGCTCTTGTAGTTACCACCCCTGAATACGTATCAGTAACAACAATGCTAATCCTGGTTGAAGGTATTTTTATTTATTTATTTCTCTATTGATCCAAATCATATAAACAGCATTTAATTGCTGATTTGTCTAGTTGTTTCACCAAACCCTTTTTTTCAAATTTCTAGCTGCCATTATCATAACCACTTAAAGATAAGGGTTACATGTACTATCGTGATACTTCAGCATATTCTATATATTTGGAGAATTATATTTTTTGGAAGGGGTATAATTGGTAATATTCTTTTGGGGTTAGCGTTATAGTCGCCTTCATTTTCTCATGATAAAATCTTAAATTTCCTTAGACGCTACACGCCGACGGTTAAGTTAATATTGCTGGGTGTTTCGTTGTTAAGATAACAAGAAAATAGTTACATGTGAACCTAATCATAACTCAAATTCAAGTTCAATAAAACTAGAGTAAATAAGAACAAAAGAGAGATTTACACGAAGACTCTTGAGAAAAGTAAAAATGATAATAAGACCATATGTTCCGAAAGAGTAAGCGGCTTCTGCTAACATTTAGAGGTTGCATGTCGACATTCTCTTGTTCTGTTAGAAGAAAGAACATTTATTCGTATAGTATTATTAAATATACACTGTACTTGTTTAAGGTAAACACTTCTGGTTGTATAATTCGTTACTGTAATGTGCCACAGATGTAAATTTTTTCCTAGTTTGATAATGTTCTGGTACAGTTTGTTACTGTATGATGACGATGTGGTGTGTTTTGTATAACACTGTAGTGTATTTTTGGTTTTGTGTTTGCGCTGTGGTGTATTTGTGGTTTTGTGTTGGCGCTGTGATATATTTTGTCGTTTTGTGTTTGCGCTGTTGTGTATTTGTGGTTTTGTGTTGGCGCTGTAATATATTTTGTCGTTTTGTGTTGGCGCTGTGGTGTATTTGTCATTTTGTGTCGGCACTGTGGTATATTTTGTCGTTTTGTATTGGCGCTGTGGTATATTTTTTTTCTGCCTGAGCTGTGGTATATTTTGTCGTTTTGTGTTGGCTCTGTGATATACTTTGTCGTTTTCTGTTGGCGGTGTGGTGTATTTGTGGTTTTGTGTTGGCGCTGTGGTATATTTGTCTTTTTGTGTTGGCGCTGTGGTATATTTTGTTGTTTTGTGTTGGCGCTGTGGTGTATTTGTGGTTTTGTGTTGGCGCTGTGGTATATTTGTCTTTTTGTGTTGGCGCTGTGGTATATTTTGTTGTTTTGTGTTGGCGCTGTGGTGTATTTGTGGTTTTGTGTTGGCGCTGTGGTATATTTGTCTTTTTGTGTTTGCGCTGTGGTGTATTTGTTGTTTTGTGTCGGCGCTGTGGTATATTTTGTCGTTTTGTGTTGGCGCTGTGGTGTATCTATCGTTTTGTGTTGGCGCTGTGGTATATTTTGTCGTTTTGTGTTGGCGCTGTGGTATATTTTGTTGTTTTGTGTTGGCGCTGTGGTGTATTTGTCGTTTTGTGTTGGCGCTGTGGTATATTTTGTTGTTTTGTGTTGGCGCTGTGGTATATTTTGTTGTTTTGTGCTTGCGCTGTGGTGTATTTGTCGTTTTGTGTTGGCGCTGTGATATATTTTGTTGTTTTGTGTCGGCGCTGTGGTATATTTTGTCGTTTTGTGTTGGCGCTGTGGTGTATTTGTCGTTTTGTGTTGGCGCTGTGGTATATTTTGTTGTTTTGTGTTGGCGCTGTGGTATATTTTGTTGTTTTGTGTTTGCGCTTTGGTATATTTTGTTGTTTTGTGTTGGCGCTGTGGTATATTTTTTTTTGTGCCGGCTCTGTGGTATATTTTGTCGTTTTGTGCCGGCTCTGTGGTATATTTTGTCGTTTTGTGCCGGCTCTGTGGTGTATTTGTCGTTTTGTGTTGGCGCTGTGGTATATTTTGTTGTTTTGTGTTGGCGCTGTAATACATTTTGTCGCTTTGTGTTGGCGCTGTGGTATATTTATTTTTTTTTTTTTTTTTTTGTGCCGGCTCTGTGGTATATTTTGTCGTTTTGTGTTGGCGCTGTGGTATATTTATTTTTTGTGACGGCGCTGTGGTGTATTTGTTGTTTTGTGTTGGCGCTGCGATATATTTTGTCGTTTTGTTTGGCATCGTTTGTCTCTATTTACTAGTTTCATCTGATCGTGTTTATCTTGTAACCAATTCATAGGAAAGCCATTACATGAGCGGTAGGCGCATCCTGACAATTGTCATTGGACAGACAGTATTACAACCATGTCTCACAGTTCTATGGAAGTAAATATAAAGAAGCTGAAGTTTTTAAACGCGTCATAATATACACTAACGTTTAAACTCCTCGTCATTCTGAAATTTAGAAATCTGTAACTGGTTGTTTAGCGACCAGATTTTTGTTTGACGCTTGGTGCCACAGCAAAGGCTTTCTGTCCATCTGGCTTCATGGCAAAACCGCTAGTCAGGTCAAACAACCGTACACTTTAACAGTTAGAATAACCATATATTACATATGTATTTTACACATTCTTACTAAATATTGGAAAGAAAAAAAGGAATGTTTGCCTTTTCATTTGAAGAAATGATTTTTTTTTTTAATTTTAGGAGTTGACCACACAACTAAAATGGAAATGGAAATTACTGAGTTAGATATCGCTATGGGTAGAAGTGTGGTTCAACTGTTTGATTTTTCGGATAATTATCCTATTTTCTGATGCCTCTGTTCGTCATAAATTCGTATAACCATAGCATCACTCATTATTTCATTACGTCAGTATTGTAAATTTTACCTTGAATCTCCATATACGGCAGCACTCCAATCGGGGGTTTTCATAACAAAATACTACGAGGAAACGTAGATAAATTCTTATGCAATATCCAACTAATGTCACACGGAATTACACGTATAATAAAACCAATAACTTGTTTATCGTCATCGTTATATGGTTCACTTCGTTTATAAAATGTTGATACTGTACCTTTTATATAAATGTCTCATCATCTAAGTGTATATTAGTGTCACATCATCGAAGTGTTTATTTGTATATAAGTGTCTTATCATGGAAGTGTTGGTACATTAGTGTCACGTCATTGAGGTGTTGGTACATTAGTGTCTCGTCATTGAAGTGTTGGCACATTATTGTCTCGTCATTGAAGTGTTGGTACATTAGTGTCACCTCATTGAAGGGTTGGTACATTAGTGTCTCGTTATTGAAGTGTTGGTACATTAGTGTCTCGTCATTGAAGTGTTGGTACATTAGTGTCTCGTCATTGAAGTGTTGGTACCTTAGTGTCTAGTCATTGAAGTGTTGGTACATTATTGTCTCGTCATTGAAGTGTTGGTACATTAGTGTCTCCTCATTGAAGGGTTGGTACATTAGTGTCTCGTTATTGAAGTGTTGGTACATTAGTGTCTCGTCATTGAAGTGTTGGTACATTAGTGTCTCGTCATTGAAGTGTTGGTACATTAGTGTCTCGTCATTGAAGTGTTGGTACATTAGTGTCTCGTCAATGAAGTGTTGGTACATTAGTGTCACGTCATTGAGGTGTTGGTACATTAGTGTCTCGTCATTGAGGTGTTTGTACATTAGTGTCTCGTCATTGAGGTGTTTGTACATTAATGTTACATGTCTCTCATTGAAATGTTAGGACCGTAGCTTCTCGTCATTTAAGTGTTTTCAGTTTGAACGTTTTAGATACACAACTTACCTGGTTAAATGCCTGGCCATTTTATACGGTCTACTAAAGCTCCTCATTTTGCATTGCGAACAGGAGACGGATAAGCTCTCCTCGGCCTCGACCGTCAAAGTAATGCAGAGTGTATATTTTAGACATGTATTGAAGCGAGTCTGAATAAACTCAAGTTTTAATCACAAAAAAATACCGGAAACTTGTTCCCATTTTTTCAGTTTAGTTTTTTTCAATCTTCTAAAAATCTGTAATTTTCTATTTTCATGTGTGATATGTGTTTGATGCTCGTTATGCTTGTTAGGTTCATAGCAAAATAAAAATTAGGACTTTTTGTACCGTATCAATTTTCGCGGCGTTAATATGTCTTGTCTTGTGTTTATAATTACATCGTTTTGTATGTCAAGTGATGTTTACGATGTTTTTCAATCAGTTTTTTCTATAATTTGTCAGAACTGTTGATATATATATTTTTAATCGATTGTAATAATAGTGTTAATACTTACTGATCTGAGCTTTATTGAACAAACGTGATGTCTATTTGAATTACGATTTGCAATGCTTCATCGCCTGAATTACTATATGTAAGTCTTCGATACTAGATTACGATATGTAGGGCTTTCCATACCTTAATTACTATATGTAGATCTTTCCATACCTTGATTACTATATGTAGGGCTTCCATACCTTGATTACTATATGTAGTGCTTCCATACCTGTACTACTATATGTAGGGCTTCCATACCTTGATTACTATATGTAGGGCTTCGATACTGGATTACTATATGTAGGGCTTCCATACCTTGATTACTATATGTAGGGCTTCCATACCTGGATTACTATATGTAGGGCTTCCATACCTGGATTACTATATGTAGGTCTTTCCATACCTGGATTACTATATGTAGGGCTTCGATACTGGATTACTATATTTAGGGCTTCCATACCTTGATTACTATATGTAGGGCTTCCATACCTGGATTACTATATGTAGTGCTTCCATACCTGTACTACTATATGTAGGGCTTCCATACCTTGATTACTATATGTAGGGCTTCGATACTGGATTACTATATGTAGGGCTTCCATACCTTGATTACTATATGTAGGGCTTCCATACCTGGATTACTATATGTAGGGCTTCCATACCTGGATTACTATATGTAGGTCTTTCCATACCTGGATTACTATATGTAGGGCTTCGATACTGGATTACTATATTTAGGGCTTCCATACCTTGATTACTATATTTAGGGCTTCCATACCTTGATTACTATATGTAGGGCTTTTAAATCTGAATTATTAAATGCAGTTCTTCCCTATATAGTTAATCACTTCTTTTAGGAGCTCTGTTTTTTCTAATATACAGTATCAACTTAAGACAAACGAAGCAATATTTAAGGGCTTGTTCCTGATATCGCAATTTTCGTGGTAAATGTAAATGTTGACTGCCGACAGAAATATAAACACGCTGTTTTTACCATTCCAATTAATATAGTGAGAGAAAGTTTCACTGGCTATTTTGAAATATTAATAATTTGTTGTTTCTGTACTCCACGAAAGATGTTCGTAAAATTGTTATCTTCTCATCAATTTTGTCCTCATTTCACTTGTTGTCTGTCGTTGAAAATAAGGGAGAGGGACTCGATTTTTGCCTGTAGATGTCATGACGTCCGTCTTAACAGAAATTCATTACCTGTTTGAACCTAGGTAAATGTTTATTATCAAACCATACAAGTCGGCACATACTTAGCTGGTCACCATTTGACACAGACTCGTGCAGCTGGGTGGAGTTTATTTAGAGGTGAATGTAATGTTATTATAAATACGTTTGATTTTTTTAATGAAAATTTTATTGCAAAGTTTAAAATAAGTTACAATAAATACATGATCACCTACCAATCGCAATGTTACACTTTTTTATCAATCGATTCCTTCTGTTGTAATTAAGAACAACTTGCTCACTGTAGCTATCACCAACTGTATCATACTCACACAAATCATTTGCCATGACTAATGAACGAATATTGTAAGTGAATCTATTACATAGTTTACTAGGCCTTCTTACATCTGCGAGTCAGGTCGTTTCGCCAAGTAGGCTTTAATTCTTGGTTGTGCCTTGACTTTATCTATCATAGCCTTGACCTTTGGTGACCCGTTCAGGCATTTTTCGCTCCCTCTTTTCGTTACGCCATCAAGGACGTCGAATACTCCAATATCCGCGGCAGTTATCTATAAAAGCAGATGATAACATCTAAAATGTGACCGGGTTTTTTAATTAAACTTTGAACTGAATGATTTATACAACAATTGTAAAACAAAATACATATACAATGCAGATATTGTTTATATGTCTACATACATCAATCAACCCTGTTGGTACCGATGGAGTGAGAGCGTAGCCTTGAAAAAAACATAATTACGTAGGTAACACACATAGCATTTCACGTGAACCCTTACCGATCCCAACTATTTAACCACTTACTGAGTCTCCAACAAGCCAGCCAGATTTTCCTATGCGGGCCTCAAGTTTCTTCAAAAATGCGGGCAAAATGTCTTCTTCAAATGCCTTCACTAGTTCAGCCTGGTTAACAGAAACGAAGATATTTCAAATATAATATCACATACCGATTAAAACCTTATAATTTAGTATGTGGTCTAGCATAAAACAATGTTATTGGTATGTTAGGTAAGTCGGAACTGACCATCCCTGTCCAGAATCATATACTGGTAATTACAAAATAAGACAATGAAAAATGATTGTTGGAGTCAAATTCACATTGTACATAAGTTTGATTGCACATTCAGACGCCTTCTTTGTAACTCCAAGTAAGGAGAGTTACCTTGCTTCATAAAACATAATCTCGAACCAATTGTCGAACAAAATCACCTGTTAATACCTCTTATTAATGATTATTAAGGACATTTAAGTTCAATTTGTACATAATCTCCGCTCCGTTAATTAGAACATGACGTATCTCTTATTCGAGTTTATTTAGTAGTTTGTCAATCTACATTCTGTCGATTAGAACATACCTTTTTAGCATCGTCCTTTTCAAAAACTGGTCCAAACACTTTTGTCATGAAGTCTACGATGTCGCATAAGATTTCATCAACCGCAAGGTTGTCTAGCTTAGTCTTTCCGTTCAGATCTGTTAACAAAGAAACATATCAAACTATAGAACTATTTTATACAGTCCTTATCCAGACGGGTTTATGTCTGTCACTGAGCTGACACCATGTATTTGTTTGTGCTTTCATGGTTTTCTTCACCTATAAGAAAGTTTATATCGATTACTATGGAGGCATTAGACGAGTTTAGAGAGCAAACTGTTCAGCGATGAAACCTTCACCTACTTACTGTAAGGAAAACTCGTCTCGTAATGACTTGGTCTTGTAACGTACAGATAAAACAAGCAAGTAAACGACCACAGGGTTTCAAATGATGCAGGCTTAAGAAAAGTATGTGAAGTTTTACGGTCGTCATAGTGATCTCATTTAGAAATATTCTATTTTTGATCGATATGAAGCTGGAGGTATTTGATGCTCGTTAGATTGTCTATTCGTTTCGTAGTTGTGTACCTTAACAAACTTTGATTGACCAAAATTTACAAGACGGGTTTCATCGATGAAGCAGAAGATGCTTACTCTTCCAAAACACCTGGTCTTGATCTCCTTGTTTTTTTTTCTTGAGTCTCTTTGTAAATCTTTTATTCATATTGTGGTTTACTTTTATTGATTTCAGTTTGAATAGTGATTATGTTGACGTTTTCATATTTTCATGCTGTCTTTCATATTGTTATTATAACAAAAATGAAATTTTCGTGTCTCGCTGAAATTACCTGACTTTCATTTGAATGAATTCTATCTCTATATAGAATTTTTTTAAAGCAAATGTCATCTGTGAAAAAATTGCGTTCCAGCTGGTCATCTTGATATGTGGAGACACTGGACCCTTAAGGGGCCAATTAGTGTCACGTAAAGGACGTTTCATTCATGAACAACAAAGCCTTCTCTGACAAGGTATATTTCACGGTAAATAAATACATTAATAGAGGCACAGACAACAACATCAGTACTCGGATAACATAATAAATCTAAAGCATTGTTGGTGAGGTATGTACACATCAACATACATTGTCATTGCTGTTATCGAGAACGTATATCTGCTGATGTGGTAAATTTATCTACAAATATAGCTAGCAACATGATCTTCAGTTCAAAATGTACTCACTGAATTCAGAAGCCAAATATCGCGCAATTGCCATACTTTGTCCAAATTTGTTGTCACCACAGGTCAAAACGGGTAATGTGCCACCAGGCATTTCTGAAAAAAATCAATACAATCAAGAGTATGTTCAAGACCGGAATGATTTTAAGGATATTTCAGGTTGAGGTTGCCGTATACTATTTCTTAGGAAATAGAGAATAATAACCACATTAAGATACATTATATTATGTATTTAAATAAAAATCTGTTTTTAAAATCATAACATAGAAACGACAGTCTCGTCTACGTGAGGATTTCTAAGTTTTCTCTTTGGTTCTACCTAGAATACAACTGACAGTGAAAACGTTGGGTAAACATAGCATTATCAGTTCCCAAAGCATAGAAACTATTCCATTTCATTCTGTTTTATTCCATCCACTTCATTCCACTTCTAGAAATTTTATTTCATAAAGAGGCATACATGAAACAGTTAAATAGGGTCAGCTTTGAATTTGTATATATGCTTGTTCACTTTTATTTCTGTATTCATATAGTGTAATCAGATACAAACACAAATGTAGTAAATTTTATGGAAATTCTCAACTTCCTCGACACTAAAAGTGTTACGCCAAACTCTTACAAATCAATGATACAGTTTCCATGAATTCCCAAATGGTATATATTCATCAATCAGAGATCAGTTCCTATCCGGGATACGAATTAAAATCATATTTCCTTCTGTGATAGCAAGTTTGATGCGTTTAATAATCTTTACCTTGCTTAACTGTTTCATTACCTATACCTTACTTACAGAGCTCTTAACCTGCTGGAGTGTTATATGTAAGTAGATGAAGAAGCTTGCGTGGTTATAGTTAGATAAACGAAGATGATACTGGGACGTTCGAAGCGTAGCAAAATGATTTCTGAACGCAGTTGTTGTAACAATTAATTATATAGCGTCCAGTAAAAGTGAAATAACTGTTCTACTGGAAGTCGAAAACACCAAAAGAAAAAGTACAATTTAGCCCTTATTATTTATGGTAAATTCCGATTAGAACTGATGGTTGGAAATGTACCCTTATATTATTTTGTTACCAACTTGCCTTAGCATTGAGGTATCGGAAATGGTAAAACTTTAAGGGCCAGAGTTTAGTCACGAAAATATCACAAAACATTTCTTATGAGTTTTGATTAATGAATTTGTATTTATGAATATTATTAGCGGCGTATCGAAATTGCTATTGAACATTTTAACTGTTTCTAAATACCATTGTCTGTTATAACAACATAGATAAATACTTTTGATCGCGGAAAGTTTCACCAAAGCATTATTGAAGGGAAAATAGATCTGTATTTTCTTCTGAAGTAACCAGATTAGATCTAAACAATACTACTTTGCTTCTTTAATACTCTAACTATTCCGAAATTAACATTAACTATTAATTACATATTATGTAATATCATAAATTCTACCATAACATCATGTCTACCAACCTTTCTTCACTTCTGGCCACTTATCCTGCTCAATGCGGACATCCTCAAAGTCTACTCCGGCCTGGTTAAACAGAAGCCGAGAAAGTTCACCACGAGCTCTCACATTGAAATACGTAAGCCTATACTTCGGTTTTGCTGCAGCTTTAGGTGGCATATTGGAGAGTTATGAATTTTATGAAAGAAAATAAAGGTCCAATACGTGTGTACCCGGCGAGAGTGAAGGCCCAATGTGTCAGCCACACAAAGCTCAGCTTATATACCCGGTCAGACCTCAACTCAATACTTTAACCAAACAGAGAACGCCAGCTAGTGATGTTTATTCACATGAATAGAAACTATTCAAAACAGTCCAACAAGGGCAGGGAATTCTTCATTTTTATTGTTAGTGGCCATACTCAATATATATATGTTAGTGGTCATACTCAATATAAATGAAGTTTTCTTAAAAATATAGGAAAGACGTTGATATATTCTATAAGTTATACGTATTCTAATTATGTTTGAATTCTGTATATAAAAATAATAGAAGTAGCGATGTTGATTTTTCCCACTCGTAATACCGATAGTATTTGTGTTAAATAGGGATTTTGTAAGGTTGTCGATTGGTTAATGCCAAAATATAAAGAAAGAAATGAACAAACTGCAGTGATTTACAACGTATTTCGCTGTTTGTCAGCTATTCAGCTATTCTGATCTTCTTATATGTGTTGACTTGTGGGTTTTTCATCATAGGCGGACTTGCATGTTATAAATATATTTTGTATCAGCTGTTGATGAAATTTCTAAAGATATATTGGTTTTTATTGGTATGTGGACACGGTATCATGATATATTGGTTTTAATTGGTATACATTCAATCTGTTATATGCTATGTCTTTTGTTGTAAAATAACTTTAGATGTAACCCATGGTTTTTATTGCTAGGTAAGATATAATTCCGAAGCTTGGTCATTTGTACATTTTGTAAAAAAGCACATGTTTCATTTTTTTCATTTTTAACGTTTATTCGGGTATGTAAACACAATTGTTTCCCAGTATACTTAGTATTTGTATATATTTACAGCACACTGCTACGCTTACCTTATATCGACCGCTAGTGGATATGCTACCTTAACTGTTATAAGCTACCTAGATTTTATTCATATTTACAGATAACATTATTACAGTATTCTGTATCCCTTCATCCTAAAATTTGAGACATCGTTTTGATCCATGCTTTAACTGCTAGAAAAAAAACTAATTGCAAGTTATCATTCATGAGTTTATTGAAAGGTTTCGTTTTTGTTTATAAGTAGAAATACTGTTGGATGTGCTATTGGGTTAAACTGAGTAACAACAGACATTAGTTGTCATGCATATCAAACGATTCTAGAATGTTTTTTTGCGAGAACAATAACCTCGAGTATTCGATTATAGTTTCCGTACATACATAAGTTCTAATATCTTTTATCGATATTCTAATGATACCATCACGCCTGCCACACATGTTAATGCCGTTACAGAAATTCACCTCACACCAGTCCATTATTAAACGGCCTACTTCACTCTGATCATTCTTGTGTTGTGAACTATGACATAGTTCATAAGCAAACGTTTTAACGGTTCGACTATTCACCTTTTAAGCACACATGAACGGGCCAGGACGCGGTTTTTTAAATTCATTAATTTTCCTGTGTACACACAGTACTCAATCATACCACGTCATACAATAAGTGGTTCTCGTAATAGCTACAGTATGTTTTACCAATTTTCTAATTGAATATTGAACTCACATCATGAAATCAACGGTGTAAGACCCTTTTCAACAACATAGTAAAAATACTAGAAAACTTATATGATTATAAAGAATGATAAATTTCCTCCATTTCAACAAAGTTTTATTGATTTCAACTGAATTCAAAAATCGGTAAGGTTTGGGCACAGCTTGTTGAAGAAACAAACTGAAAAAAATATAAATAGAAAAACACGCTAAATATAATTAAGCTGCTTTTCTGTATTCCCAGACATGCAAGAACATGTGTGAGAAAACCTGGTTTGTCGCTCCACGCCAGACTTAGTAAGTGGAGAACTGTGACCATAAGCGAATACAAAGGCTTCTCGGCGGTTATTATCAATATGGGGTTAATAAAGAAACTAACCATAAGCAAATACTGGAACTCAAAGCAAGACAACCAATCTACTATTACCTAGTAGTGTTAACTAAACGACTGAAGACGATGTAAAAATGTTTCAAATCACTTAGCAATAAACACTGAACTCGATCAGATTTGATATATCTCTTTCTTTCACTCTTTCTCTCTCCCTAAAATAAAATGTCTCTCCTTAGTCCGGCACACTAGTGGCGAGAATTAAGGATCCGTATGACAGGAGAACGTGGAATAAGGCACAGGAAAACGTGGAATAAGGCGCAGGATGTGATGAAATTCAGAAAAGCTCTGAAGTATTGAACTTATACTAGTGTTATCCCGTTGGTAGAGACTGATTATAGGAAATAACATAAATTAAATATATCTCTCTCTCTCTCTCTCTCTCTCTCTCTCTCTCTCTCTCTCTCTCTCTCTCTCTCTCTCTCTCTCTCTCTCTCTCTCTCTCTCTCTCTCTCCGTGTAATTTTGTATTTAAAATTTGTAATTGTTACAATAAAGTATGTTAAAATCAATAGATCAGCCAATCTACCAATTGTTTTCAAGCGATGTCTCCAAGAAATCGGTTTCAATTAATTTTGAATTGTTTCCACATCAGCACTAACGAAAAAGTACCCAAACGGAACCACTCGAAACACAGGTAAATCTTTTGCAATTTTTTCAAAATGTGCTGTAAACAAGGAAAATGCGAAATATCACTCGTCCTATGTGGTGCCTAATATAAAGGAGAAGACGAAGATATTTGTACTATTTAATACATCATCAACCTCATCATGTATAAGATAGTCACCATGTTATATTTTCCCTGTATATTTCATTTCTAGTTACTGAAAAGGATTCTGGGTTTTGTGATTTCATACAAATACATGATGAAAACACTTTCATATTGGAACTATAATGATATTTCCCAAAACGAATGAATTTACCCTTACTTTTCAAGATCGCTATAAAATTACCCTGGCGACCTATCAAACTCCAAAATGTACATTTCAAATAACGCGAATGTAAAGATATTATTTCATATCAAAATACAAAACAAGTATACTTTATATCACCATGAAGAATAAAATATTTGTGTAATCCGATCATTATGTTCGCTTTTGTATACAATGCCATGTATCTATCACGTATTTCTAACATATAAAAACAAATTATAAAGGCATTTTTCACTTGTTCCCCGACCAGTTCTCGATATACCGCTATATGGTACCAATCGCCTGTCGATACGTTGTAATTTCATGCCGAAGATTGTGTGTTTGAGGCCTGGTCAAGGCAGGAGTCATTTTTTTTCTGCATTTGTTATTTGTGGGTTTTGTTTTTGTGTGTGAATGTGTGTGTTGGTTTTATAAGTTCTTTAGGCCCGATGCTCACTTTAAATCTCTGCTTAAATTTGCCATTCGAATCCTCAAAAAGAATCATTTATCAAAACAAGAAGTGTACGTTGATAAAACTGCGCTGTTGCAATATACCCCGACAAAAGGTAACACATTTGGCGTTAAATTTTGGGTTCTAACCGAGAGTTGTAGCGGCTATAGAGTCGATATGAGTTGTTACATTGGGAACGGGTTTCAGCATGCACTACCAGGACAAAGTCAGGGAACCGGGATAGTTATGGACCTTTTACAACGCAGTGATTTTACTTGATAAAGGACATCATGTCGTTTGTGATAGGTTTTTTTTCTGTTGCGTAGGTCTTGCTAAGAAATTATTGGAAAGGGGGATATATATTACCGGAACATTACGGTCTAACTGGAAAATGCCGGCAGCTTAATAAGGATGCTCTGATTGGCTCGGTTGAAAGTGTTTTTATGAGACAGACAGGGGTGGAGGGGGTAGGGGGGTGGGGAGGTGTTTGTTAATTGCCGCCTTCACAAATGAAAGGAATGGGAAAAAAACTGTTCGATTACTCGGTACCTCGGCTACCTCTGATCGGAGAAATGGCTTGCCTTATATAATGAAATCCTGTAGTAAGCGTGAAGGTATGAAGAAAGATAACAATTAAGAAATACTGAGTATTGCTAAAGAAATACATCCCCCTACCGGACCCTCCAAGCCAGAAAGTAGTAACAGTGATCGTGAAATCCTGAAGCTCATAATTGTTTAAGGTACATGTATTTTGACGCTTAATAAGTGTGTGAAGTTTGGTTAGAATGGAGCCACTAGAGCCTTGACAATCTTTCACAGACGCAGGCACGGACGGCGGGACGCCTAGACGGACGGCGAGACGAACGGAGATGAAACTATAGTCCTCCAACCATTTACTCCGGTTTTAGCGTTGGGGATGAATTTTATCGCGACCACAAAATCCAGCTGTTAACCAGCTGTAATTATATTGACAAATACATGTACACATGTACATTGTAGTTTTAAAAAAATAATTACAGGTGTTAATAATCTTTTATCGGAACAGGGGACAATATCAAAGGTTACATTTGTATTTTGAAGGGAAAGAAGAACGTGACTGTGCAGTATGTTCAGATCATTGGAACGGAGACTGTCACCGATGTAGGACGAGGTGAACACGTTACAAAACGGTAGTCCATATATTATGTATCCAGCACCATACACATGTATGTTTCACCGTCGATGATTGACCAAAGTCAAAGTTGTGAATGAAGATATGACACTGTCGACTAAATATCAAACTTGATAGCAAGCAAGTCACATGGACTTGACTTAAAGACAACCCTACGTTCTGTATATACGTGTTAAATAATACCCCCCCCCCCTCTCTCTCTCTCTCTCTCTCTCTCTCTCTCTCTCTCTCTCTCTCTCTCTCTCTCTCTCTCTCTCTCCACAAAGATGAATATATCTGTGTCTACGATAACGATATCATTAATATCTACATATTAGCATTGGCATCACTCAAATGAGAACAACTTAAGTAAATAAAGTCGTAGAAAGGAAGTTTGCTTGGTTAAAGTCACTTCTAGGAACATCTAAGATGTTGAAATGAGATGACATATGTCTTTATCACGAACCCGATTTAAAAGAACCTGGCTGTTCACGAGGGGAACATCGACCAAGCAAACAAACATCTACATGTGTATGTCTGGCATATTTGTATACAAAATACCCATGCTACCCGTGTTGACATCTGACATCGGAATCATATGTATTAAATCTTAATCAGATGTCAGGAATAACAATAGTACATATTGTAGGCCAGAATATTCTGAAATTGGTTAATACTGTTCGCCGCGGTCGCATGCTGATAGACCAGTGTCAAGGGCAGGTCACTGAATACATACATCAAAGGATTTTATTTATTTGAAATTTTGCACTTAAATATGCCAAGTAATAATTTGTTGGATTGTGATACAGGTTTATGGAAGATCTGTTTACTATTCTTGTTTATTCTTACCGATAAATTGGAAGCTTGTTGTTGAAGAACACGTTTTATTCTCATTGTATTTATCAAATATTACCTGTATTAAGTATTACGATTTTGTGAATTTTCTCTCCCGTTTGACACCAGTAAGATACCTGAAAATGTAAACACCATTTATTTTTGTTGATATTTTGGAACATTTGTAACAAATATATCGTCATATAACTAAGCTGATGTAAATCTATGTGACAACCGTGTAAAATGTTAAACTCTGTTCAAGGCGATTTGTGACACCACCAAAGAGAGGAATATTGTGTTAGAGAATATCTGTTTTTCTTTTTTCATCAGTGAAATTGAATGTTATTTTCGAAAATATCTCTGAAAGTTTCTAATAATCAGAAACTTGCATCCGTTTCAATTTCATGCAATGTTTATGAAACCCATCACTGGCTCGGAAAACAAAACAAAACTATAACTTCCAAATGTAAGACAGCCTGCGAGCACAGAACATAGACACGTGCTTAACCGGAATTTGTCAATTTGAGACGTGATTGATTGATATTGGCAGTTTAAGATCAGTTTTATATTATTACAAGACAATATTTGTACATCTACGACGATTGAGATAAGACAAGTTTGTGACAATGAATTTTAAATTACAATTGTTTTGTATAATGTAGATCGGTCAAAATAGAAAGACATTAACATGATTTCAGACAGAAAACGTCGTTTATCGGTTCTGATCTAATGAAAAGCAAACTAAAAGCTCTCAATTTTTTTCTGATAATTTTATTATGAAATATATTACAATAAGAAGACTGTCACCAGGTTACCGTTCACAACACGACACCTTTATTGGTTACGGAGAACAATTGGTGTCTTTGCTTACATATTTATTATATCCTATCTATAGAAAAAACTGCCAGTGACTGCTGCACTGCTGAATACTGTGAGAAGGAGGAAATTCTATATACAGGTCATGACACTCCTTTCACATCACTGTGTCAGGTCGCTTTTTCAAATACTCTTTTATTCTCTTATCTTCTCTGACTTTCGCCATTAAAGCCTTGAGTTTTGGTGCATTGGCGAGGCATTTGTCTCCCCCTCTCTTCGTTATACCATCTAGGATGTCATGAACTGCGAAGTCGGCGACAGTAAACTAAAAAAGAAGAATTTTAATTCCATGAATCCATGAATCACCAGGAACTTCTTTACATAAAAGGGTAAGGTAATTCACAAAGTCCCTGATTAGGATTGGCTTATTTCATTAATACTCTAACCTACCGTGTGCTAATTCACCAATATCATAATGAATGGTTGGTTTTTTCATCTTATCTAGGGCGTGTTAATTCAAAAGTAGCGTTACGAAGGGTGTGTTAATTCAAAAGTAGCGTTACGAAGGGCATGTTAATTTACAAGTAGCGTTACGAAGGGTGTGTTAATTTGCAAGTAGCGTTACGAAGGGTGTGTTAATTTACAGGTAGCGTTACGAAGGGCGTGTTAATTTACAAGTAGCGTTACGAAGGGTGTGTTAATTTACAAGATTTACAAGTGGTCTTATCTGAGGTGCCTTCATATACAAGAGGCCTTATTTAGGGTGAGTTAATTTACACATGACCTTACCTAGGGTGCGCTAACTAACACGTGGCCTTGTTTAGGGTGAGTTAATTTACACATTACCTTAATAGGGTGCGCTAACTAACACATGACCTTTTTTAGGGTGAGTTAATTTACACATGACCTTAATAGGGTGCGCTAACTAACACGTGGCCTTTTTTAGGGTGAGTTAATTTACACATGACCTTAATAGGGTAATTATTAGTAACTATCGTCCGATTTCTCTGCTGTCTATTGTTGGCAAGCTGATGGAAAGATGTGTCTATAAACATGTCTATAACTTTCTCATAGATAAATCTCTTCTAACACCCTACCAATCCGGCTTTAGATCTGGCGATTCCACTATTAATCAACTTTTAACTATTACTCATGACATTTTTTCCAATCTTGACAAAGGTGTTGAAATAAGATTGGTATTCTGTGACATAAGCAAAGCATTTGACCGGGTCTGGCACCGAGGTCTTCTATCCAAATTAAAATCTTTTGGTATAACTGGAAATCTCTTTACTTGGTTCTCGAATTATTTGCATAATCGTTGTCAATGTGTCGTAATCAATGGTAGACAATCCCATTTAACCAATGTTTCAGCAGGTGTCCCCCAAGGATCGATCCTAGGTCCGTTACTTTTCTTAATCTTTATTAACGACATTGTTTGTAATATAAATTGCAATATTAAGTTGTTTGCTGACGATACATCTCTATATGTCATCGTAGAATCACCGCAAACGAGCGCTAACTTGTTAAATAATAACCTTAGTATAATCAATGAATGGTCTAACACTTGGCTTGTTAATTTTAACCCCTCTAAAACCGTAACAATGACAGTAAGTAAAAAAGCTAATAAACCGCTTCAACCCTCCTTATTTATGAATAATACTGCACTAACCGAAGTCACTTGTCACAAACATCTAGGTATCACTCTATCAGCTAACGCAAATTGGACTGAACATTTACAACAAATCACTAGTAAAGCCTATACAAAACTCAGTTTCCTCAGGTCACTCAAATTTAGCATTGACAGAAAATCTCTTCAAACTTTGTACTGTTCTTATATTAGACCTTTATTAGAATATAGAGATGTTATCTGGGACAATATAACATTAGGCCAAAGTAAACTCCTAGAAAACATCCAGCTTGAGGCAGCTAGAATCATGACTGGAGCTACAAAACTCACCAGTCATGACCTCTTATATTTAGAATCCGGCTTAGATGCTCGACTTAGGATGCACTGTAGCTCACTAAACGCACACTTATATTCTCGTAATCTTGTTAACAACTCTCTATGTTCATGTAACCAGTCCGACGAAACTACTGAACACTTCCTCCTCCAGTGCCCTAACTACCATCATATCAGAATTCAATGCTTCAGTAACATACCCCCGACATTAATGTTAATACCTTATTATATGGTAACCCTGATATGCCAGATCAGTACAATGAAAATATTTTTGACTGTGTCAAAAACTTTATTAACCGTTCTAAACGTTTTAATTAAGCTCTAGCGTATCTAGTGAGTTTGTGTATACTACGAAGTAATCTCAATTACAGTACTGACCTGGTCGTGGTATATTGTACTTTGTTGAGTGAACCACAATCAAATATAGATCTATAGCAGTCCTAAACTCTTGCTTCGTCATCCTACAACGGTCCTTTTAACCCATGCACCCTTTCTTTTCCCCTTCCCTGTACTTATGCACCTACTTAATTACATTATGTTGTCAGTGCTGTCCATTGCTCATGTAATTAGATACGGAGACAGATTAATATAAGTACATTGTACTTGTTTCTGAATCCAAAATGCATATTTGCTTTTGTACTGTACTCATTTCACAAAATAAAATACAGTTTAAACTAATAGGGTGCGCTAACTAACACGTGATCTTTTTTAGGGTGAATTAATTTACACATGATCTTACCTAGAGTTCGTTAACTTACAAAATGCCTTATTTAAAGTGAATTAATTTACACATGGCCTTACTTAGAGTGCGTTAACTTACAAGAGGCCTTATTTAGGGTGCGTTAACTTAAAAGAGGCCTTATTTATCTTGGTTGCGCTGATGTTCAAGTTCTGATATACCGTTTTTCAGATTAATCTAGGATGCGGTGGTTCACTAATGCCTTTATCTGTGATCTGGCTTCTAAAGAACGTGGTCATTTTAGAGTAGATAATCTTGCAAAGCAAATGGGTATTCAGTATAACACTAATATTTCTTCAAGACGGATGTATTATATGTATATGTCAGAAAACCTGTTTTCACTGACCATTGTTTAGAAGTATCTCGCCCTTCCTCAGCACATTATCCTCATTGTTTCCCTGATGTGGTATTTTGACTCGTTTCATTACGTTTGAATTTGAATTCAAACTTTGTTGATATCTCAGCATAATTTTCTTTAAATTTGCATATAGCAACATATATATTTATAGTTTTGGTTTTAAGTTATTGTCTGTGATTGTGTATATCTAATAAGGTTCTGCTATGCTATTGTATGTCTTAAAATTTGCATGTATGTCTTATTATGTTTTAAGTGCCTGTGATAATTTGTATGTGTAATATAAATGTTTCGTGTGCGTTTTGTTTTGTTTGTTTGTTTGTTGTTTTTTTATTATTTATTTGCTTTTAATTATGTTTGTCTCAAAAATATCACTACATTTCTAATGCTTTTCTTTATTTGATGTATGCGACATTAAATAAAATATCTTCGTTATCGTGTATCTTACTAATCTTTATGGTGATTTTTGTATTCATATCACTTACCGTTTTACCAACATAATGGCCAGATGTAGGGAGTTTGTCTTCATGTTTCTTCACGAATGCTGGTAAGAGTTTGTCTTCAAATTCCTTTAATAGCTCAGCCTGGACGAAGAATACAAACAACATTTATTCTTATCACATAAAAAGGAAGCGAAAAGTTTATTTCAAACAGATAAGCAAATGATGGAACGATAGTAGAAATAATACATAAGACTATTCATACGATAAAATAACTTGTTAATGTATAATGCAAAAAATCACAATTCATATTTTAGTCGAAACAACGCGTAAATTACTGTAACACAGATCACTTCTGTGTGTAGCTATTGCCGACCCTCATGTGTAAATACTATTTATTCGTGATCATTTTATATCTACCCGTAGTCGACCCTCAAGTGTAAATACCATTAATTTTAATCATTTATCGATAATCAAACGTTATGATCACTCCAGTTTATTATTCATGGAGTATGGAAACTTTTTGGAAAGAAGCTGAATCTATGGAGCAATTTACCTACCTTAAATCCCGCCAAGCACAGCACTACATACCTTTTTAGCTTCGTCCGTTTCAAAAACCGGTTTAATTACTGTCTTCATCATATCTTCAACGTCTTCCAACATTTCGTCAGCTGCCAGCTGTTCCAATTTAGTCTTCCCAAACAGACCTGTATATGGTAATTCAAGTGTCTTTAAACAACAGCAATATTTTTATGAACCTTTATTGATAATGAGGTGAAGTCTATAGCAAAATAGCCAAAATACATAACTTCCTATAGTTGACACTGGTTTTAAACTCCTGAGAAAAACAAACGACCACCTGTTCGACGTTCTCTACCAGTGCCGGTTTGCTTCGCACGAAGCAAACTGGTCTGGGCTGACGTGGTTATGTCCTTGGGCAGGACACGTATGTAATCTTAAAAGCTCAAGGTGCAATTTAAGATGCCTCCCGCAAGTTGTTCAGTGAGGTAATCTATCATCAACTACAAGGAGAGTGAATGGAAACATCCGCCGACAAGGTAGGTTATACAGTGTAGAGATACAGGTATGAAGGCGAAGAGTGGATGGAAACATCCGCCGACAAGGTAGGTTATACAGTGTAGAGATACAGGTATGAAGGCGGAGAGTGGATGGAAACATCCGCCGACAAGGTAGGTTATACAGTATAGAGATACAGGTATGAAGGCGGAGAGTGGATGGAAACATTATCCTACAAGGTAGATTATAAAGTATAGAAATACAGGTATGAAGGCGGAGAGTGGATGGAAACATCCGCCGACAAGGTAGGTCATACAGTGTAGAGATACAGGCATGAAGGCGGAGAGTGGATGGAATCATTCTCCTACAAGGTAGATTATACAGTATAGAAATACAGGCATGAAGGCGGAGAGTGGATGGAAACATCCGCCGACAGGGCAGATTATACGGTGTAGAGATACAGGTATGAAGGCGGAGAATGGATGGAACATCCGCCGACAAGGTAGGTCATACAGTGTAGAGATACAGGTATGAGGGTATTGCTAGCCATAACAATACTCGGATTAAACAGTTAATGTAAATGCCTTGCAGATACAGCTAATTATAAATACAAAAGTCTCATTGGTGTTACCTGTTGTAATACAGGAATCATAAGACTGTAATCGAGAGTATATCTGGCAATATGTCCTAAATTACTCACCAAACTCTGAAGCAAGATATCTCACGATAGCCAAACTTTGTCCAAATGTTTTGTCATCTATAGTCAGGTAGGGCAAGGTGCCACCAGGAGTTTCTGGAAAAGGATATAAAAATGTCCATAATATCAAAAACAGGTTAACTATGTTTAAGAGAAGCTGTGATATAATAGGGTAGTGTTATAAGAAGGGATTTCAGAAAATCCTATATACGTATTTCAACGATTGATACGAAAGTCTTACTGATATGACATCAAATATTGTTGACATTTCCAGTGTAAAAGTGTAGGCATATTACTGAATGTGGAAATATGATCAAATGCCTCTGTCAGTACCGACAGTGTATGCATTTCTTTGATATAATTCACCACCAAATACCTTTGATCGTTCTAACAGTGTTGATGTATTTTACTTACAAATTGCATGTATCTTCAACTAAACTACACGCCATTACCAGATGGGGTATACATTTGATATAAAACTACAACTGGCGAAAGATCGATAGAATGGTGTCCGTTCTATTATGTATATTTACATTCTCAAATATCGTTTTTAAAAAATCGAAGTAAAGAAAAAGAAAATAATTTTTTCCACTAAACCAAATACTGACGTCAGCAAGCTCAAGTCAGAGAATAACGTCAGATCACAGTCTAGCAGACGAAGTTGACAAACTTGGTAATCTCGTAGTAATCATTTTGTAACACAATTCCTTGTTTGACAATAACGTTCTACTATAATTCGATACTTTTGTAAAGTTATTTTTTTTCTTGTTAAGTCCACCAAATTCGGATGTGTCAGTATGTTGATACCGAAAGTGACCGGCGGCCAGTTTTGTTTGTCTGGGAGCCATTTGGATTAATTCACACACCGACGGAATCACTATAAATTGTAGCATACAGTAATAATGATATATAGGCGAATGCAACACAGAATGTAAATACTGTATTTATATCTACCAGGATTACTTTCTGGTGGACGTCGCGCCTTGACCATCGGATGTGCATCTATTTATACGCTTGACCATAGCCTGATATATTCCCTTCTGGTTAATATATCACTAAACAAAATTGATAGTAGAATAGAAGTATATACCGCTGTCTGCATTTAAAACGTCAAAGTATATCACTTATAATTATCTTCAAATACAATTGACAGTTCTTCGTGTCAGCGTATATTACAAATTATCTTTAAATATCACTGACCGTACATTTATTTACTTAAAAGATATCTTCAAATAACATTGACCGTACTTACAGTGATGAACGTTAAAAAAGATACACGTAAACAGATTTAAAACATCAACTGGATTTGGATTCTGATAAATTTTGACTATAACTACATCAGCATTAACCGTGTGGTAACGACACCTGTGACATCGCTAATTCCAATATACTTACTTGGCTTTAATTTTGGCCAATCTTTTTGCTCTATACGTTCATCCACAAAGTCCTTTCCGGCATATACAAATAAAAGACGAGCAACCTCGCCACGAGCTCTCAGGTTAAAATAGGTAAGAGTATATTTCGGTTTTCCTCCTTTAGCAGACATGTCTACAGGTAATGGTTTTTAAAGAATAAAAGTATGTGTCCAATATATATGCTCTGTTACAAGGACGGCCCGTTGTGTCGGCAAAATCTATACGGCGAGCTTATATACCGGGTGAAGTCTCGCATTCAATACCGTGTTGTAACATAAAAAATACCGCTGTCATTTAAATCACCTAAGTAGAAACAGGTCGGTTTTTAGACCAATTGAATATAGAAATACTATCTGCAAGCGTGACGGATACTAGATTGTCGCATAGTAATTATCTACGTACCTATTGTCAGGTTCCATCTCGAAATATGTTTTTCATTGAAGCTTTAGCGAAATGTTACATCCTTTGGTGAATTTGTTTGTAATTGTGTGCTTTTGTTCTTATTTTGCTTTTGCAGCTTGTATAAAAGAATTCATTAAAGCAAAGTTATAAGTGGATGCAGGGAAAATATACATCTATATCCATATATAAGAATATGACATTGGAAGTGATCTTTAACCTAAATTATTGAACTGGATATTCTCTTCCTATTAAAAACTGATATTGTTTGTCAACATATTTCGGGAAAGAAATGAAAAAGTTCAGTTACATAGTAATAGGCAGCATTGACAGTATATTATTTTTGTGTTGTGAACCAAGTGCTAACACGCCCGACACGAACATCTAGAAACACGTGTTTGAGCAGTCTAGATATTCACCTTCGGTTCACACGATCCAGCGTAGAGCTCGTGGTAACCGGCTGGAGCTAGAAAGGCTCCCATAATAGCAGTAATATTATACTTCGCTATTTAAGTGAGTAAGGACTTACTTGTGTTTGCTCGTTACTATGTATGAATAACAAATAAGATTATTAATAAAGAGAAAGAAAACGTACTGTGTTGTCAAAAATAATGTAAGGAAAATTCTTTCGAAACTGACTAGCTGATCATTAACATTAAATGATTGTCAAAGTTGAAATATTGCTTTATCAGCGTGTTGTCGTATATTAATAACGATGATAAATGGTAGTTAGAGTATCCCGGTTCATGTTCTCTTTGTACATTAAAAGCATGTCTGTGTGTATCTCTCCATTTGGCTTCCTTTTTTGTCTTCGTTTAGCAAATATTGAATCCTACTTAGAATTCTACAGTCCGGTTCATGTGTGTTTTTTTTTTCAAGTTTTCTTGATATATTTTATATTTTTAAGATGTGAATATCACGCTTATCATGAACTAAAAATCCTCACCATTCATCTCTACTTTAATCTTGCCGTTTGACTTAGGTTCAGGCCTATGACAAGTCAACTTATTGAACGAGTTTGATAAACTCCATATGTCATCGACACTCATGTGAGATCAGTGATCTTAAGCGTACTCCAGATGAATTTGTCAATACATCACTGACATAAAGTAGTGACTTTACTGAACAAATAAGCTTAGCGATGGAAGACAATACAACACGTTACAACAATAACATATTTTTCTTATTTCGACTGCAATGGTAAGAATTTCTATATAAGAATAGTATACAGTAATGCATTTCATGTTGTCTTGGAATGTAAGTTCTGCTTGATAACCATTGTAACATAACCTATACCGTACTATTTTCTTTCAATTTGTTCTCAAGAAAGAAATTCTAGCAAATAATGCTTTGATTACTGATATACAATATTTTAACAAAATACCAGCCTGAATATATGACGTCCCCACTCTATCAACAAATTTAAAATTTCGTTTTAATAAGGAAAAACAATTAGCTGTCATGTGCATAATTTGCTCCCGACGTAACCAACAAGGTCGGCATTGCAGGGTGGTATCAATTTCTTTATTCCCGATAGTACGGCTTTTAGTAAAAAAAAATCTTTCTTTTAGCTGTTGGCACCCACGATGTCTTCTTTTTCGAACGAAGTTTTGAAAATCTAAGTACTATTTAACGACATAATTACAAGTGAAACAATATCAGGTTCCAGCATTGAAAATGATAGCAGTGATCATAATAAAAATCATTATAGAAGTCCTCAACACCTGTGCTGGGCGTCTATGAACAGTGTATAACTGTTATATTATGTCGTCAAGGACGTTACAAACATCAGTGGGTGGACTCGATTTGATCTCGCGTTGTATTTACAGGGAGAGCATCTTAAGTTTATAGATCGGTGATCCCATCTTGAGTGACTGCATCTCCAGACAACACAGGAATATGAGGCGGCCGTAGAGAACCAATGTCATGTATTCGTACATTGTACGCACTAGCTCATTCTATTTGGGAAGGTTGATGGTAGAGTAGGGAATGACAAACAAACGATCTCAAATTAAAAGCTAAAATATCAAGAAAAGTGAAATACGGGGAACAAATATGTGAATGACTCAAACATTGCAACACAAGAGCAGCAAAAATATTTTGGAAGCAGGTACGTCTTCAGTACTCTTCAGGAGACACATCATTGCACGTATTTAGTCCTGGACGTGGACATTACGTTATATCTGTACATACAGACTTAGTTATCTGTCTGTCAACATAACGTTATATCTGTACATACAGGCTTAGTTATCTGTCTGTCAACATAACGTTATATCTGTACAGACAGATGTAGCTATCTGACCGTCAACATTACTTTATATTTGCACAGACACACGTAGCTATCTGTCCGTCAACATTACGTTATATCTGTGCAGACCGCGTAGTTATCTGTCCGTCAACATTACGTTATATCTGTACAGACACACGTAGCTATCTGACCGTCAACATTACGTTATATCTGTACAGACAGACGTAGTTGTCTGTCCGTCAACATAACGTTATATCAGTACAGACACACGTAGCTATCTGTCCGTCAACATAACGTTATATCTGTACAGACACACGTAGCTATCTGTCCGTCAACATAACGTTATATCTGTACAGACAGACGTAGTTATCTGTCCGTCAACATTACGTTATATCTGTACAGACACACGTAGCTATCTGTCCGTCAACATAACATTATATCTGTACAGACACACGTAGCTATCTGTCCGTCAACATAACGTTATATCTGTACAGACACACGTAGCTATCTGTCCGTCAACATAACATTATATCTGTACAGACAGACGTAGTTATCTGTCAGTAAACATAACGTTATATCTGTACAGACACACGTAGCTATCATCTGTCCGTCAACATTACGTTATATCTGTACAGACACACGTAGCTATCTGTCCGTCAACATAACGTTATATCTGTACAGACACACGTAGTTATCTGTCCGTTAACATAACGCTATATCTGTACAGACAGACGTAATTATCTGTCCGTCAGCATTACGTTATATCTGTACAGACACACGTAGCTATGTGTCCGTCAACATTACTTTATAACTTTACAGACACACGTAGTTATCTGTCCGTCAACATAACATTATATCTGTACAGACAGACGTAGTTATCTGTCCGTCAACATAACATTATATCTGTACAGACACACGTAGTTATCTGTCCGTCAACATTACGTTATATCTGTACAGACACACGTAGCTATCTGTCCGTCAACATTACGTTATATCAGTACAGACAGACGTAGTTATCTGTCCGTCAACATAACGTTATATCGGTACAGACAGACGTAGCTATCTGACCGTCAACATAACGTTATATCTGTACAGACAGACGTAGTTATCTGTCCGTCAACATTACGTTATATCTGTACAGACACACGTAGCTATCTGTCCGTCAACATAACGTTATATCTGTACAGACAGACGTAGCTATCTGTCCGTCAACATAACGTTATATCTGTACAGACAGACGTAGCTATCTGTCCGTCAACATAACGTTATATCTGTACAGACACACGTAGCTATCTGTCCGTCAACATTACGTTATATCTGTACAGACACACGTAGCTATCTGTCCGTCAACATAACGTTATATCTGTACAGACATACTTAGTTCTCTGTCCGTCAGCATTACGTTATATCTGTACAGACACACGTAGCTATCTGTCCGTCAACATTACTTTATAACTGTACAGACACACGTAGTTATCTGTCCGTCAACATTACGTTATATTTGTACAGACAGACGTAGTTATCTGTCTGTCAACATAACGTTATATCTGTACAGACAGACGAAGCTATCTGTCCGTCAACATTACGTTATAACTGTACAGACAGACGTAGTTATCTGTCCGTCAACATTACGTTATATTTGTACAGACAGACGTAGTTATCTGTCTGTCAACATAACGTTATATCTGTACAGACAGACGTAGTTATCTGTCCGTCAACATAGCATTATATCTGTACAGACAGACGTAGTTATCTGTCCGTCAACATAACATTATATCTGTACAGACACACGTAGTTATCTGTCCGTCAACATTACGTTATATCTGTACAGACACACGTAGCTATCTGTCCGTCAACATTACGTTATATCAGTACAGACAGACGTAGTTATCTGTCCGTCAACATAACGTTATATCGGTACAGACAGACGTAGCTATCTGACCGTCAACATAACGTTATATCTGTACAGACAGACGTAGTTATCTGTCCGTTAACATAACGCTAAATCTGTACAGACAGACGTAGTTATCTGTCCGTCAACATTACGTTATATCAGTACAGACAAATGTACATATGTACGTTTGTGTGTGGTGATAAGCAGTTAAAGTAGAATAAAGCCGTTTTCATATTTATTGTTATTGTTTTAATGTTAGATAAATTGCAATGACTACAGCAATACAGTACATTTGTGTGGTTGTATAACAATGTGTTGATACCTTTATCTAGATCAGTCATGGTTCAACTTCCTTCGGTAATGTCCCTGACTTTAGGTATCAACAACGAAGTCCTTTTCACACAATCCTACACAACTCACTGACAACGGCGAAGGAAGATACCTTGTGACCGAATCTACTCTCTCCAGATAAGCTGTGAAAGACCTCAAATTTGGGAATCAGGTCGCTTCGCCAAGTAGGCTTTAATTCTTGGTTGTGTCCTGACTTTCTCCATCAAAGCCTTGACCTTCGGTGACCCGTCCAGACATTTGTCGCCCCCTCTCTTCGTTATGCCATCAAGGGTGTCAAACACTCCAAGATCCGCGGCAGTTATCTAAAACGTAAAATAAAAGATTGAAAAATCATCAACGTGCATGTGTTTTTGATATGCAGTGAATAGTATATGCATTTATTAGCCTAACATCTAATGGTGGGCAGTGCATATAACTCTTGGTCTGTTTTTCCTTAAACAGTTTTTGTTATCGCTCTTTATTGAGAAGAACCAGACGGATCTGATTTCATATGTAGGTTCCCCTAAGTCCCTTGGTGTATATTGTTGAATTTTGGGATAGACCACAAAAACAGAATAGTTTTGGGTTTTAAGAGTAATATATTTGTATCGCATTTTCTTGAAAAGCAACGAATGGATCATTTTCAAATTTCAAATGTAGATTCTTAGTTCTGAAATTTCTTACTTTGAGACTGATCCGAAAAACAAAACGGCTGACCGGAGACCATCTTTGATTTCAACTACAAAGAATAGTTATCGCTATTTTGCCGGAAGTACTAAATTGATCTTTCTCAAATTTCACAAGACGCTTTCCCTTGGTCCCTAGTTGTGCCTTTTTGATATTGGACATGATAATAAAAACAAAATACGTTACAGGCGGCAATTTTGTTTTTTCACCACGAAAATTTGCTATGGCCATTTGGGTTTTTACAATTTCATTTACGGTAGAGCAAAAACAACGAAACGACGAGAATAGAAAAAAAAATCCGAGTTTTAAAGACGAAAGTAGATATCAAGCACCAACAAGATCTTCATGGAATTTCTTGTTTCAATGCTGATATATAGCCTATGGAGCAAATACATATATATAACGCTAAGTCGTTTTCTGTCCGCGATATATCCTTGAAATCGATAAATACTCTTTGATAGTACAACTTACCGATTCACCAACGAGCCAGCCGGACTTCCCGATTTTCGCCTCGTGTTTTTTTAAATATGCGGGCAGAATTTCCTCTTCGAACGATTTTGTTAGTTCAGCCTGAACAAAGAAAGTTAGTGTCACAAACTAATGAAATATGGACGTTTTTAAAGACAGAAAAAACAACAATGGATTAATGGTAAATCATACCAGTAGTCGACCATCACGTGTAAAAACCTGTAATTTACAATCATCTCTATGTGTACCAGTAGTCAACCATCAAGTGTAAATACCAGTAACTTACAATCATCTCGATGTATACCAATAGTCGACCATCACGTGTAAATACCTGTAACTTACAATCATTTCTATGTGTACCAGTAGTCGACCTTCACGTGTAAATACCTGTAACTTACAATCATTTCCATGTGTACCAGTAGTCGACCATCACGTGTAAATACCTGTAAATTACATTCATTTCCATGTGTACCAGTAGTCGACCTTCACGTGTAAATACTTGTAACTTACAATCATTTCCATGTGTACCAGTAGTCGACCTTCACGTGTAAATACTTGTAACTTACAATCATTTCCATGTGTAGCAGTAGTCAACCCTCACGTGTAAATACATGTAACTTACAATCTCTATGTATACCAGTAGTCGACCCTCACGTGTGAATACCCGTGAACGATGATCCTTTCGATTTGTAGCAGTAGACGACCCCCATGTATAAACTACCCGTCACTTACAATAATTTCTTTGTGTATCAGTAATTCACAATAATTCTAAAAAAACGTAACTTGTAATTATTTCTACGTGTACCCGTAAACGATCCTCACGACTACATGGTCATTATCATATATACCTTTAAGTACCATTAATTTGTGATGATTATTTTGTATACCTGTAGTCGACCCTCACGTGTAACCAGTTACTGATGATGTACTTGTAGTAACGTGTAAATATCAGTAAAAATTATGGAGACATACATGCTGAAGATGAGTCCAGTTTATGCGAATGAAAACTGAAGATTTTCGAATTTTGTCTATCTCAATCTCACCAAACCCGACGCAGCATAACCATGTACCTTTTTCGCTTCGTCTTTCTCAAAAACTGTTCCCACTATTTTCGTTATCAGGTCTACGATGTCACATAGGATTTCATCAATCATAAGGCGGTCTAGGTTGGTCTTCCCGTACAGACCTGTGTAAGTAAAATTAAAAATCGTTACACCTCAAATATTGGAGCGTATTTCTGTGGTGAAGAAGTATACCCTAGTTAATAGCCTAAAATACCATTTAAAGTGAGGGATTATTTATATAAGAAGCCACAGGTTTATTTTAAGGACAAGCTTATTTTTGAGCCCGGCTTGCTTTCGAGTTTTAAGGGTAGGTTGTTACTATTACTATTTAAACAACGTATACGTGAGTTAGTTTCTGTACAGATGTAGAGAGATCAGAAATTAAACTACGTAAATCCTTTAAGTGTTATAAATTGTTTAGTTATTGTTTGACGATCCAATCACAGTAAATTTCACATACGATAATGGGAAGTGAATTAAGCACATGTCGGCGACAAACGACAAAACATTCTCCGACTTTTTCTGTAAATACATATGGAGATCTATCCAGCAATACACACACTCGGATCACATGGTAAGTCATAGAGAATTGTAACTAAAGTTACCCATAACGAAAGTACCTTCCTCATTCTTATCATCTATAAGAGCATCCTTGATTATCCAAGTGTTAGGATCAGTTTCGCTCTCTGCACCTTGGAAGTAATTTGATTGGTTCAAGGAGAGAAACTGACCAATTACAGGCTAATACGGTCCTTTTTAAGATTACAATGAGCGACACCCAACTTCAAACCCATTACAATATACCATTATGCTATCTAAGGATTCGTTTGAAGTACATCAAAGGATCAAATTAGTTTTTTTCTTCTTGTCCACAATGTGTCGCATATGGAACCTAGTGGTGAAGAGAGCGAAAGTGATCGTAACTCCTGAAGTAACGAGGATGGTGACGGGGGTGAAGAGAGCGAAAGTGATCGTAACCCCTGGAGTAACGAGGATGGTGACAGGGGTGAAGAGAAAGTGATCGTTAACCCTGGAGTATCGAGGATGGTGACAGGGTTGAAGAGAGCGAAAGTGATCGTTACCCCTGGAGTAACGAGGATGGTGACAGGGGTGAAGAGAGCGAAAGTGATCGTAATCCATGGAATATCGAGGATGGTGACAGGGGTGAAGAGAGCGAAAGTGATCGTTACTCCTGGAGTAACGAGTATGGTGACAGGGGTGAAGAGAGCGAAAGTGATCGTAGCCCCTGGAGTATCGAGGATGGTGACAGGGGTGAAGAGAGCGAAAGTGATCGTTACCCCTGGAGTAACGAGGATGGTGACAGGGGTGAAGAGAGCGAAAGTGATCGTAACCCCTGGAGTAACGAGGATGGTGACAGGGGTGAAGAGAGCGAAAGTGATCGTAACCCCTGGAGTAACGAGGATGGTGACAGGGGTAAAGAGAGCGAAAGTGATCGTAACCCCTGGAGTATCGAGGATGGTGACAGGGGTAAAGAGAGCGAAAGTGATCGTTACCCCTGGAGTAACGAGGATGGTGACAGGGGTGAAGAGAGCGAAAGTGATCGTAACCCCTGGAGTAACGAGGATGGTGACAGGGGTGAAGAGAGCGAAAGTGATCGTAATCCCTGGAGTAACGATGATGGTGACAGGGGTGAAGAGAGCGAAAGTGATCGTAATCCCTGGAGTAACGAGGATGGTGACAGGGGTGAAGAGAGCGAAAGAGATCGTTACCCCTGGAGTAACGAGGATGGTGACAGGGGTGAAGAGAGCGAAAGTGATCGTAATCCCTGGAGTAACGAGGATGGTGACTGAGGGGAAGAGAGCGAAAGTGATCGTTATCCCTGGAGTATCGAGAATGGTGACAGGGGTGAAGAGAGCGAAAGTGATAGTTACCCCTGGAGTATCGAGGATGGTGACAGGGGTGAAGAGAGAGAAAGTGATCGTTACCCCTGGAGTAACGAGGATGGTGACAGGGGTGAAGAGAGCGAAAGTGATCGCAATCCCTGGAGTAACGAGGATGGTGACAGAGGGGAAGAGAGCGAAAGTGATCGTTATCCCTGGAGTAACGTTGATGCCATAAAAGAAACCAACACAGATATTACAAATCTAACTAGCAATGCAGCCTTGAATACTCACCAAATTCTGAAGCTAGATATCTTGCAATAGCCATACTTTGTCCGTATTGTTTCCCATCATAGGTCAACACCGGTAATGTGCCACCAGGCACCTCTGAAATAACATAGAAATGCCCGTGATATCAATAATAAGATACACTTGAATGACCTAAACAGAAGATCGACATGGTAGACATGATGGCTTTTTAGCTTAATTGCACATTTATGTTTTTTTAAACAACAGCTATTTCAGATTTCTATAACTGCTTCACCATCTGGATCCTAACGCGTTGCTGATCAGGTGTTATTTCTGGTCGGTCACCTATTTTACACGTTTTCGTTACTTCCAATGATGTCATTGGGCTTACGATTGCTGTGGATGTTCCTTTAGGTAAGGATATCGACAAAGTACATTTATTTTTTGGCCTCACCAGAAGTTCAACATGAAAGCCAAGGCCATTTTTCTATCTTAATCGTACCATCTTGGTTTTCATATTCAGATGGTAGGATAAAGCTCAAACATGCCTGAAAGTGTAAATAATTTTCACAATTCAGTCAGAAATCCAAGATGGATTCTAGGGTAGCAATCTTGAAAAACAGATTTTAAACTTCACCGAATCAACCTGAGGTCGTACGAGAAATCAGATTGTGGAAATCCGTAACGTCTGTTAATACTTTGGCTATATGTTGGTAAGAATTCACTTTTGTAGGAAGTCATTTTTCACACAATATAGCTTATATGACCAACTATAACGCACATACCTTTCTTCAGAGCTGGCCACTTATCCTGCTCAATGCGGACATCCTCAAAGTCTACTCCGGCCTGGTTAAACAGAAGCCGAGAAAGTTCACCACGAGCTCTCACATTGAAATACGTTAGTCTATACTTAGGTTTTCCTGCAGGTTTAGGTGGCATATTGGAACCTTATTATTACTTTTTTAAGAATAGTACGGAATGTCCTGTACGTATATGTGGCTTGAATGACTACTCCTTGTGTCGGCGACGCACACCTTATCAGCAGCTTATATCCGAGATTAAACCTTGATTTCAATACCTCATACACATAAAATGCCAGTCGGCGTTGTTTAACAATGTTCCCACAAACTAAAATTCCTTTCTGTAATAATTGTCCCTAATGATCAGACTTGATATGTAGAACAAAATCAAACGTAAGAAGATTGTTGATGTTTTCTGGAAAATACGTTGTATTTTAGGGCAACGCCTTTAAAAGCAATAAAAATGAAATGTGAAAATCTTCAGTAGACACGGAAAATGTGTACCCAGTGAATGAGTGTGACAGGGGAAGCGAAACTGAAAGATAAATATACACATGTACCCCAGCATTGATAGGCTGACAATTCCTGAACACGTATCTGAGCTAACAATTGAGTGCAGGGAGTCTCTTCTGGTCGGTATATTTTGTATGAAAATTCAATTTAAACGGTTCCTTATAGTATAGAATGAGACCAAACTTACTGATGTTTGCTAATCTGTTATCGTAGATACATGACAGTTTCAATTGCAAATCAATTGAAAAATTAAAAAATAATCTCATAAAAAATCATTTTAATGCATATGTAACTACAATCAGTTTCAAACAAATCGGTGAACAAATGGAAAGATCTTGCTCATTAGCTTTTTTTTCTGAAAACAAAAATTCAAACGGAGTATTCCAGACCCTGCCTAAATCAAAGGAGACAAACACTCCCATACCGCCTGACGGAATGGTCGTTATCCTCCCCCACATTATTTATAGGTTGTCATTTCTAGAGAGTTATATTCATAAAAGGCAACAACAACAAAAAATGTGTTTTATGATGTCACCATTTTTTATGCAAGCGTTTAACGAAATCGAGAATTCATACATCGAACAAAACGACATCTTGTTTTACCGTTTGTTAATTATTTGTCCATAGGTATTACAATTGTTAACAGTTTCATACATGTAATATTTCTTACTTTTAAATTCTAGCGAAACATAGGCCTGCCAGATAGAAACTATTGAATCAGCTATTCGCCCCATACAAACGGCATGTAAGTCTCTCGTGTTAGGAACGAAATGTTGACTCTCGTGACCCGAATGATTAAAAATGGACAGCCTAAATATTCCCCCTTTACGCACACACGGCCCTGCGTGAACCATTTACTACTCATAGAAAAGTCCTCGTAATAGCCGCATTATTCATATACATCAAGCAACGAGATCATATTTCTTACTTGTGCCAACGCGTTGTAAGGACAGAATGCTAACTGATATTGTTTTGTTAAAACTTCTATGCTGAAATGTAGAACAGATAAAAAATTCCATCTATCATCAAAGTTAAGGAACGTTAAATCTAACACACTACTGCATGTCATAATCAAGAACACGTGTTTCGGTAATGACTATTGTTCAAAGATGTAAGTGATCAATTTCAAACAGCCCTCGTTGTAAGAAGTATTTTGTCTGGAAAAATCGAAATCTTACACAATATCACCCAAATCAAATTTTTCATATAAGTGAGAAAGGTGTTATATTTGGAAGTTGTGATCTAGGAAATTAACACAATGTACTACACAGTGACAGATATGGAAAGAAAAAAATAAAACAAAATTTGATGTTGGTTATGAGGTGAATGACGTGATAAAACACATTCTAAAATGTGTAAGGCAAGAAATTGTTTTAATGATTGATGCATTGCAGAAAAGTGTAAGACATCGATACTTAGGGGGAGTTTTAAACAGAACTTTCGAAAATTGAAAGAGCTGAAAGCAGAAAAAAAGAATGACAATTGAAAGGAAAAAATAAATATAAGAAGACTGATACGATAGGAGAGTGACAGTTTTAAGAGAAAGAGTGTGTTGTAAAATATATTATTACCATTGTACAGACATGTATATTTAACTTTTAAAAAAAACGGGTATTTTTTCTGCTTGCACATTTGAAAATATGTCTTTGTAAATCTTTTAACAATTTCTAAATTGCCTTCGTTTAAAAGATTTTGGGTTTTGGTTACCAGTTTGTAAGCGGATTCATTACTATTTTTGCACGAATTCTCGTATTCCGGTTTGTTAGTATCATGTAAGGTTTAATTAATCTGGTGAAGCGTATTATCTCAATACAATCGACATGTCGTACAGAGAGTTAAAAGTATAGGTGTTGTATTCGTTTATCCCATTATTGACAACCTGCAGTCGTCCAGAATAGTATGGTTAGCTGTGTCAGGTGAGGTGATATTAATGTTATCTAAATCAGCATGATGGATTGCACAAATGGTAGCCAATTTAAAAAAGCCTTTTATTTTAAAGGTTAAGTTCGTCAAGTGATTGTGCAAATGACACACGCCCAGGGAAGTCTACAAGGAGAAACTAACATTGAGTGAAGTTGATCATACAGCTGTTTCGGTCCTCCAGGATTCATCAGAGACATCAGGGGTCTAAAGTATTCAAACATAAATGCGAAGAAAATCATTCAAGGTCTAATTTTTTTTTAAATATCTATGTTGATGTGCAATAAACCGACAGTTTTTCATAATTTCTAACATTAGATGAGTTCAAAACTAAATGTGAATATTCTGAACGGGAATATTCAATTTTCCCAGCCGTTTTGTTCGGTCAGCAATAATAATATCGTACCCTGAAATTTTCAAAAGATGTTATCAATATATTTAATATCGGACCTTGCACACCAACACATTTCTGAAACAAATGTTACACCGCTATTCGTTGTTCACTATTCAGCATTGTCTCCACCATTTTCAATTTCAAACATGGCTTCACCGGAACTTAATGACAAAGGGCAAACTTATTCGGTATGTTACAAAAATAAGAAATACCGAAATGTCAACAGAATGTTGATTGGAGAAAACTAAGGTTAGGATGAATGAAGAAAGATTTTCACGAAAATAAAACCAAATGTTCCGAAAGAATAAGCGTCTTCTGCTTCATCGACGACATCCGCCTTGTGGCTTGGTCAATCCAACTAAGAAAGTTTCCAACTGAGAACTAAATAAATAAGAATGGAACCACCAGGCACACTAATGAGCACCAATCATATCCAACTTCCCTCGAAATCCTGTTGTGAGACTGTTTCTCAGTTGCGGACAGTCCTTAATTATCGAATCAACTGCGACATGATTACCGAAATAGAAAATTCACAAAGAGGAAATTGAATCATAATTATCCTACAGGTTGATAGAAACGGTTGATGTCCTGTCTTAATCTCGTTTTTAACATTTTGCCAAGTTTTATCACTTTTGATATATGGTAACGAACTGTGTTACATTTCACAAGTCAGCATGTTATAAACTTCTACAACAGATACACGAACACAGTATCCTTCAAAATAAATATAGAAGGGCCAGATAAGGAATTACAATCAACAATATCAAACAGCTATTTCGTGTTTTTAGGACTCGTCAAGGATGCAAAAGGCATATATTTTAAAACCTAGGAATCGACTAGGAAAAATCAAAATTGACGAAAGAAAATATCAGGTTGGGTGAGGTGGGAGTGTTGATGCACAAGCTCCATAAAGCAATACATTTTGTAATCTCATATATCTCATAATTTTAAAAGAGCGTCATTGACATGTGTATGAGGTAAAACGTGACATGCAGGTTAGGGCAAACATTGAGATCAAAAAGTCCACAAGCAGTGTCTATCACCTGAAATAGTAACTGAACATAAAGGTAACTTTAAAAATAGCTTTATGAATGGTGTTTAAAGTTCAATGATTGCAGTGTTTCGTTTCACATATCAACCGTGTTATTGTCTATTCGTAGGCGACTCATTTCATACTGTAATCATCACAACATCGTATCTAGCGAGTGTACAGGGAAATAACGCCGCTCTATGAACCTATTGGCTATTATTGTGAAATGAATCATCATTTATTCTTTAATTGTGGTCAATCGCGCATTCAGTTAGAGTTTTGATGCAATGGAATACTTCGCTGGTTTATATATACATATGAGATTTCCCGAGTTCTGTAAGAAAAGCCTAACGTAAAAAAGACCAATATGTCTGTCAAAAGTGATAAAATAAGTTGTTCCTTAACGGCATCCAGTATAATCCAGGTTACATCATGTAACACGTCTCCAATTAAATATATGAAAACTATGTTTATTCATAGTGTCCCAAGTCTTATGTATAAGACCCCACTCATCTCGTGTCTTGTGGAGCCTGACAAAAACCACTAATCACAATACAACACAATGTTAGCGTTCAGTAAACCAATCTTTGTTTGAAGTGCATATCTATACATTAAAATATAAAATCCTAATTGAGACCATTTCATGTGGGCTTTATCAAACGTTTCTTTTTATTCACACTGTCCAAGACGAGAGGTTTAGACCCTTAGAGTTTCACTGACGAGTACTGAAAGGAGTAAACAGTTATATGTTGCAATTTATTTCATTTTCGACTGAACTTTACTTAATGGTAAGTCAGTATTAAAAGTGTTATAAATCTGTGAGTCTATAGTATAATCTTTGTAATTAATTGGTCGATTTTGGAGTTGGATTATAAATTTGTTCACTTCTGGCAACTTTTGAGTTATTTTGTCCTAACCTTGCCGGATATCGCAGGTCAATTGTTTCATAATGACAATCGGTGTCTATTGAAATGGAGATGGAAAATGTTATCAACATTTAATCAACCAACCAGACATTAGTCGAGGCTTTTTTCTTTCATGCTATTACTTTAACACTTAAACAACTTTGATAAGTTAACACACTAGTTATTGAATAAACCGAATCAGTCAGCAAACAGACAACACCATAATAAGTGTGTAGCTTTCGTTAATCTGACAACTTAATCCATGTAAGAAGTTTACTTAATCGCTTAAGACGGTATTCCAGCAGTGTTCAACGCAGTTGTATACTTTATAATAAAGGCAACGAACAGCAGGAGCATCCTACTTCAAGAAAAATGAT